GGAAGAAACAAAATGAAACACCAAAACTTCGAGGAAGGGTTTTTAAAAATAACAATAAACAAAACAAACAAAATAGCAACATTATTAATTTATTTATTTACACGCGACAGCGTACCGAGATTCAGAAAATGCGCGATACATAGCAAAATTTGGAATGACTATCCATTATTAAATTAACCCTAAAAAAACTAAGTAGAATGCGAAACCCAAGAAAGAACAGCCTTTTTTACAAATAACTCTAGCCTTCCTCTGGTGACTCCGCATAGCAATACGGGACGGATTAGTCCATCTCATTTAATCTATTCTTATAGCTTGGAAAATCCGCTTAAAAACCAGCTATTTGACCTATTATTATTTTCCTGACAACATTCTAACAACCTATTCTTGGAATTCCTACGTTCTTTGGAATGCATTTTGCGCGTTATTTGAAATATCAATTTTTCCCTATATACTAGATGCTCAACACATGGCCCCGACAGTTTAAATGAACTTGTTAAAAAATATTGCTAAATTTCTCCGAAGGACGACGCTAAACCTACTTGAGAGCCCTTAACTTTCGATAATTAGTGATGGCTGAAATATTTTACTTTTTGGCCCATCCGTTCCGAGAACTAACCAATAAATTACCACGCGTCCCGGCTTTTGTTACAATAATTATAGCGATTTCCTAGTAAACAGTTACATTTATCGGCTTGAACCAAGAGTACATAATTTTTTCTGATATTGTTTCTCTTTTCAATAGTGTTTAAATTTATGTGATGTCCAGCAAGAAAAAACAAATTTTGAGTTCTAGGTAAAGTGCCCTCTAGCGGCGCATAATGATACTTTTCTCTGACTGGTCTAATAGAGCTTTATCTACTTAGTGGGTGTGTCAAATGAGAGACGAATCGAACTTGAATTAAATAAGTTATTTAAATAGAAAAATAAAAAAATTGAACTTTGACAAGTTGTAACTTGCAAACAATTGACAATTCGAAAAAAACTTTCATAATATACTGCCATTATTTTAATTCGTAGAATCACCTGTCGGAGTTTCTTGATGGACTTTGAGAACACCCTGTATTGTAATACTTCGAAAATTTCGAAAATACACCAAAAAAACTTTTAAATATTTAAAAAACTTGGAAATATTTCAAATACATCTTAGACCAGCAGATTTGTCGAAATATTTAGGTAAGTCAATGTCAGTGTATTAATTAGTACACTATCAACGTTGCCAGTTGCTTATAAATCAATCTACATTGTGAGTTGTGACAATAAAAAATAATGTACTGAAACAGATTGCATTTGTATAACTTAGCAAGGTGTTATTTTAAAGTCACCATATTTTTTTCATATCACTGTGATCGAAGCGCTGAACTTTAAAAACAAAACATTATATCGTTTCTAAAATAAAAATTTTTATATAATTTATTAAATATGTATTAACTAATATTAACTAGTACAATAACGGTACTAATTGTAAATATTTAACTATTAGACAACAAATCTAATTAAAAATAATTTTGTATTATTTTAAAGTCACCATAATTTTTCTATGTTAATGTGCGCGAAGATTTGTTTAGTATTCCACTTTATCGGTTTAGGGAAGGTTGTACATAAAGTGCCTTTATGTGGTGTAAGTGTATAATCTTATAAAATTATTTGTTTCAGTGTTCAGTGAAAAAGCATTATACGAATCAAGAAAGAGTCGAGCCAGTTTTTGTCAGCAGCAAAGAAAACGATATCAGATAGATTACGCCGACTTCTTATAAGTACCGAATAAGAAACTGTTTGTCATATTGGTTCAACATTTAAGAGACTATGGGATCTTTGAAACAGAAATTTTGAACGCCGTGGAAAAGGATCCTGTTACCAGTACTCGAAGATTTACCACAAAAGTGTTATGTTATAAAAAGTCAGGTGAGTAAACAGGTAATATATTTATTTTTGTGTATTTCACTTATCATTATTAGGTTACTTGTTAAATCCTCTTTGAGGGTTTATCTTATTTAACAGAATTATACTTTAGTTATTGTGGGATGGTAGAGAGCTCGTGTCGAACAACCACTCAAGAAAAGTAAGGTTCCAAACCTCACGGCGAGTGGTGTAGTTTGCTTTTTAATAACCTTTCCTTTAAAAATACAATTTGACAACAATGCACAGCCCAACAAGACAAAATCTTAAAAAATGTCCATCTGGTAGACAGATTAGAAGTTTTTGTATGATAGTGACTTAAAATTTTATTTGTATTATACCCAAAAACTTTTAGATTTTGCCCCTTTAAAATTTTACATTCATTTTACTGTTCACTGTTCGTATTATCAGTAGTCAAAATATTAATAACAACATTCTATGGTAAATATAAGAAACTAAAATATTAAAAATTATATCTATGTGTCGTCATCAAATAATAAAATCGCCGATACAACAAATGTTTCGGATGCACATATGCATGTTACAGTTGCATGCACACAAAGAAATATGTGTATTTATTACGAGACTGGTATCCTAACGGGCAATATCGCAAAAATACGAGCCACCTTACTGCGCCCCATAAATGTCTCTCTGCAGCGGCCCGGGTCGTGATCTAAATTCAAATTCACCCTCCCAGTGTCTGACGGAAGATTTTTGCATACAAGATTTTTGCATACAATATACAACGAGCATATTTCGTCCCGGATGGATTTCATATATACACACTAGCAGTCAGGGAAGATTTGGGATGCAAACTAACGTCAGAGCTTTGAGAAATTACATAGTATATTGCCCAAGTAGCTGTTAACCTTTGTATATGTACCGAGATGCAGAAATTGAGGTGGAGTAATGAGAAATTTTATGGGTTCTAACATTAGTCCGCATGGATATGGATCGTAAAAGTTCTCGGGACGTTACAAAACTCGCGTGTACTAATGGCAGAATACATTTTATGACGTGATGAGTTAATTTGGAAATACATATTTTAATAAATTTAAGGAAACTATGTTAAAATGTTTTTAATTTATATGTAAATACATATGACATAAAAACTTTTAGTATATTGTGTCACAAGGGCAGAAAATGAGCATTAGTAGCCCGAGGATATTAACTTTTTTAATCAAACTTTTAGACTTTTTGGGCAGGTAATTTATAGAATTTTGTTTAAAAAATGCTCGAACTTTATGAAAATTATCAAAATTAATTAATAAATTTTCCTCGACTTTAAAAGTGCTTTTCAATATTGAATATTCACACCATAGTGTCTTTGTTTTTTCTGATAGATAAGCAAATAGTACATTTTCTGTTAAGTTTTTGATTTTTTTTATTCCTTTTCCAGTTAATGAACAATTCATAATACTTTTGGTACCCAGTACCTTATAGGCTCCTAGAGGCCCCCACCATGCTAACAAACATTTTTTTTATGAAAAGTATTTTTTTAAGATTTTTTTAATACCTCCCTCGTCATGAACAAGAAACAAAAATTATTATGAAAAATATAATTTTTTATTCTTAAAATTTGAATTCTATTAATTAAGATATGATTCTAAGAGGAGAAAGCGTATACAATAAGAATATTTTTTGTTTGAGGGGACAAAAAAGGTTTTTTTTTTCTAGAATAGGCCCCCACCAATTTTCAGCCTACAGGCCCCCACCACTGGTTCACTGGGCACTGTTGGTGCCGTTGTTTTGACTTTGTAGGTAACAAATTCAGAGAAATATTGCTAGATTCTTCTTGCAAGTCCGGAGAAGTATTCGTAAATTCTTCGTCACTGTCCGAGTTACCATTCATTTTAACGTTATTTTACACTATTTGATTCAAAATTTTGGTTTAAATTGACATTTAATGACAAATTTATAAAACGTCAAAGTACGCAAATGACATGCAAAGGTGTCCAGATTGTGAAAAAAATCACAAAATCGTGTTGTCGCCCTGGTCGATAAATATTACTTTCGGTCCTATTTTTAGGGTCGATATGTTCATTCATTTTCCCATGTGCCAGGCGAAAAAATATTCAGTATTAAAAATTTACAGGGTAAATTGACAAAGGACGTAATTTTTCATAGGAAATAATCTCTAAATTCAAAAATTAGGTCCATGGACATATTCTATTATGTTTAAAACAATCGACGATCTATTTCTATTTGACAGTTTGACATTAGTACCTATCACTGTTTCTTTAGTTTTTCTCGAAGATTTTCTCTGCTTTTTTAAATGTTTAATATACATACGTGAGTACATATATTTTATGAGGAAGCTCGTTTCAATTATTCTCTTAGAAGATGACGTATTTATCACCATTATTGTCCTAAACGGTAGTTGTCTACTAGAGCAACATGCATTTGAAGATTTGAAGCACCTCAACGTGTTTTTGTCTTTTTGATACTGACAAAAGTCATGGAGAAAATGAATGTGAATAAGGAAGAACAACAGCTGCAAATAAAACTGACCTCAAAATATCTATTTTGTTTAAAGAAGTTAGGCTATTGATGAGGCATGTGTTATTATTACGTATCGATAATACTCATAACTGAGGAAAAGCTAAAGGTAAAGATTAATTTCTATTTGTATTGGTACTACATACTATAAACCCTATCTCCCTATAGCGTCCAAAACAAAATAATGTGGTGGATTTAATTAGAGTGAATGAACAGTTTTCTTTTTTAATAGTTTAATTCCTTTTTAATAATTTTCAAATTAAGTAATGGTATCGACTATATTTATTTAATATTGTAACAGTCATCAATGAATGCAGATAAGCAACTGTAAAATCTTTTTGATTAAAAATTATTATAAATTTTAAATTTGAAGTCTCAAATGAGTCGTCTTGTGATAAATTATCGACTGTTATACATTTTTTTTTTTTGATTATGTGTAATGTATTGATATCAAATAATAATAATAATATCTAATGCATAATTTACCATATACTTTATAAAGAAAATATAAATTTTATGAATCTAGTGTTCTGTTATTTTACTACTAAAAAAAATTATGCTGTAGGTATAATTCAAAACAAACTTTATTTTACAAATATAAACTTAACAAGACACTGATATGTATAAAAATATGTTCCATCTGTAGATATATGATTTATATATAAAATTATTGGACTTTAACAAAATTCCCAGTTTGAAGATTTTTCACATAGTTTTCCCTGCACTCCATGTTATCGGAAGGTCTGTTGTGTGCTGTCCAGACAGGTTCACCAATAAACAATCTCCTTGCTCTTATAAAGTTCTAAAAACAAATTATTCGTTGTCAAATTTAAAAATTAACGAAATGTAGAGAAACTTACATTCTTATCCAGAGTAAATCTATGATATATTCCACTAGGCAAAATAAGCAAGTCCCCAGGAACAACTTCAACTCTAATCCATTGATCGTTTTTGTCCCGCACATCAAAATACCCAGAACCTTCAGTAACCAGTCGTATTTCCTCGTCAGTATGTAAGTGCTCGGTATAAAATATTTTCAATTTTTCTTCGTAATTTGGCAGACATTCCTTGGAGCAAACCAGCTCGTCTTCATAAGTGTAACCTCTACCCTTTTTAATTTTGTCTAGTACTCCATCGGTGTCAAGAGTGTCGATATTTAACTACAAAGTTTACACGGTTATAGTTAACTTTCTTTGGCATACTGCAAAGATATGTTTTACCTTGAAATATTCCACGCCAGATATTTTGAAAAGTTCTTCCAGTGTAATAAAATGAGGTGGATTTTGATGGTGCTCGTTTCTTTGATCGCTAGGATCGTTGTCCATATACCAAGCCCGAACCATTTTCACTACGTATAAGTCTAAGCTACGGTACTAGTTTAATTTATTATTTTGCAATACTTATGATTCTTGTAATCAGCAAGTGGTGTGTACCAAAACAAAATAAGAAATGAACTTTGAACTTTTAAAGCACGTGATGTGATTGTGATGTCAATTGTCAAATTTGTTTTGAAATGGGGCTCAAGTTCATTGTCAAGAGCTAATGATGATAATATTCCTTCGCGTGTAATTGTTATAAATTGAACTAATTTTAAAATTTGGTTGTTGTCACCGGAAACATCAACGTTAATTAATACATTGTTGGGTTCACTATCACACTCTTTTCGGCCTGATATGATCTTGATCTTATACAGATTATGCAAGGTTATGGTTAGCCTGTAATTTTTATTGTACATTATAGAGATGGGTAGTATCCGTATGATTCGTATAAACGATACGAATCTTTGTTGGGAGTCAGATGATACGACTCTCAAATGGAACGAAGCTTTCGTATTTCGTACTCGTACTGGATACTAGAACTAGACAGCTGGTAATGCAAAGACTCCGTACGCAGGTGCGCAGTGTGCTAGTATTAAATACGGTATGGTACGCGTACGGTACGATAAGTACGGGTTAAGAGCTAAGAAGGATTCCGTTATGTTCAAATCTCGTATTATTTAACACAAGCTTCACGTTTAAAATTCGTACAGGCGATTCGGTGCGCGCGCTCGTCAGTTATCGTTCACGTTCACGATATAATTATATCGAAAAAGCTCTTAAGGGCCCCATATTCTTTAAATAGTGTTTTCCGCAAAGACAAATAATTTAAGACAAACATTTAATAACTGAATAATCTAAAGCTTATCAAATAATAGGAATGTTATGTCATGCCACCTAAGTATTTTCAAAGACGCCGCAGTAAAACGAATAAACAGGTGCAAAAAACGATCAAACCATCAAGGTTTTAGGTACTGAAATCTACGAAAATACTAACTTTTTTATATATAATTCCACATGTAAATATTCTTATAACATTTACTTGCTTAGTCCTACATATAAAATTGTTTACTTTTATTTATAAGTACGTGAAAATAATTCTTAAAATGTGGGGTTAGAATAACAGCAAACGCATGTTTTACAAACGCTTTTTTTTAGTTATTATTTTATTTGAGTAAATTTAAATGGTAACAATGAATAAACAAAACATCAAGGATTTTATTTTTGTGCTTACTTTTGTTCTACACATTTTACTTTTAAAGATTTCAGTACCTAAAAACGCCAGAAATTTCACTATTTCTCGGCCAGGAATATGGCCACCTTAAATAATCCTTCCTAGAATAACAGAAGAACACTATCCAATACGAACACGAACCTCTGTTGCGTTGTAGCTACATCGATCCCATCAGAGAGAATTTTTTCAAAATGTGGGCAAACTATTAATGAAAGACGTACCAGGTTAAGTCGAAATAAGTTTCACAGTTATTATTTATAAATTTTAACTCTAATTATGTTAATATTTCAAAATTGTTTTTATTATCCGGTATACCTATATGCTTTACAATTTTTATTAAGAAAGTACCAAAGATTTAGTTCTTTTTTTAATTTTTTATTTATTTATTTTAAATAACATAAATATTTATTTTTAGTAGAAAATATTTTTTAGTTAAACATTTCTTGTATATTTTATATATTAAAATAAAAAACATTTTATAATTTTACTGTTGTTTATACCGGAAAGTTACTAATTTTTATACTTTTATCACACTAAACGAGAAATGGGAGCTAAGACCAGTAAACCAGTTTGCGTATGCTTGCGTATCTTATTATTCGTATTTGTATTTTGTATCAGTGACACGGTGTATCACGCACTTGTACAGCCCAGGAGTAGTGATACGAAACATACGAATCTTTCAGTACGACTCCCCATTCTTAATGGAGTCGTATGATACGAATCTCCGAAAAGAGTCGTTTTGCCCATCTCTAGTACATTATATCTACCAGGACCAGGAAAGTGACCTACTACCTACTACTTATACCAAATTTGAACTACATGTGTTAATGCTTTCATGATAAAGTTTAATTCTATGGTCATGTTCCTTTATTCATCATTTCCATGTAATGGATTCCGTAGAGCCAATAAGAGATCAGAATTTTTTAAACAGACCAATCGTAATACATCGATGGAATTCATGGCATTAAAACGAGGAATAAAAGAACACGGCCTATTATTTCATTGCTGATGCTGACTAATGTGAATTGAAAATTGAAATAATTGAATATCACTACTGAAAAATAAATATAACGATTTTTTTCATTCATCACTAGTCTTTATTTCTAACAAGTAGGTAATTATAAATTTAATTTCCTTACATTATTGGTGTAATGTGTCTACAAAAAATTAATAGCTTATATTAAGTTAAATTAGATTGATTTCTTCTTTTGGTTCATCATAAGCACCATTAAAAAGTTTCCTTAAATATTCTTTTCTGCATTCCAATTCATCAGAGGAGCGGTTGTGTGCCTGGTAAATTGCATCCTTTAATATTCTCAAGCCTTTGTAAACATTCTGAAACACGTTACATTTTTTTAAATTAAAAACATTTGAGTTTACAAATTTTGCAATAAATAAATATATGTACCTGGCTATCCACAATGAAGCGGTGGTAACAGCCTCCTGGAATAACCAGCAAATCCCCTGGCAAAACTTCTATACGAATCCACTCGTCAAATTTGTCCCTTACGTCAAAGTACCCGCAACCTTCTATTGCGAGTCTAAACTCATCGTCAGCGTGGAAGTGTTCAGTGAAGTGCTTTTTTAACTCTTCTTCATTTGGATTATCGACTATCTGTTGTATGTTGTTGCCCCTTTCTTCTATTAATTGTTTTAGGGTATTGTCAATCTCGTAACAATCGGGTGATACCTGGATTGATAGAAAACAAGCAGTGAGCGGCACAAATGTGGAATAAAATCATTTTCTCGAAATAGTTTTTTTTTCTGAAAATTCAGGGACGCTTTTAAGGCTTGCTGAACTAATTAATTTTGATCCCATCAATGAAATTTTAATTAAAATTTTCAAGTAAGAAACAATATGCTTATTTCGAAATAAAACAGCAGCTAATTTGGAAGGTTCAAAACTAGGTCAAAAAATTTGTAGTTGCCTATCGGGATAATTCATTTCTGGCAAAGAATTATTTTAAGGATGCATTTTTTCTTTTTTAAGGATTCTTTATAAGGAACATTGGCTTATATCTGCAGCAGCAATGCAACTTATTGGTTTATGAGGATTTTTATGAAGATCTAATACGGCAAACAAGTATATTCATCATGAAACATGATTTTCAACATGACATTTAGCAAGAACTGACAAGTAAGTACATATTTTTTTTCTAACATTGTAAGAAAAAACGAATCAGTATTAAAAACTCCATTTACAGTGCGATTTTTTGTACGGTTATATATTACGTCAATATATTATTTTTTATTTATCGAATCGTTGTGATGGCCATACACATTCAATTGCCATTCGATAATAATTCCTAGTTTCATCACTCGACAAATTGCTGCGGGAAATGATGACGCAGTCGATGAAATGAAGCGATTCTAGATATATTGCTCATCGCCTTTGATAAACTGCATCGTAGATATGCAAAACGAGTGCTCTCTAATGCTAATTTTCTCTCGTTTTTCTCAAAAATATTCTTAAACAGGGTATTTATAAATAAGTGCGAAATATTTTAGAGTGTGGTGGTTGCCGAAGTTATTTTGTAAAAAAAAGAAGTTCATATAAACGTAAGTCGAAATATGTTTCGTTTCCGTGATACAGTGTTTAAATTTTTATTTTTTATTTTTATTAATTTTTTCAGTTTTAAAGATATTGACTCGAAATTTGATGGTTTTATTTTATTTAAAAATATTGACAGCAAGCAACTATAGATAAAGTATCAATAGAAATTAAAAATACACAACTTGCAATAAAATATGTTCTATTTTTTCTGCTCAAAAACAGTGCATCCTACGAAAAAAATAGAAGATACCAATTTCGTTCAGAATTGATGGAGGATTTCTAAAAAAATATCAAAACGGGAATTTTTTTTTAATCAAAAGTTGTGGCATTCTCGCACGAACGCCACTGGTGCAAGTAGAAATATTCAGATCAACCCAAAAAATGCACATTTATCCCTCCAAAGCGTTTTTCAAATTTCAAGTCAATATCTTTAAAATTCTTTGAAATAATTAATAAAAATAAATAAAAAATTAAAATTTAAACACTCCGTATCTCGGAAACAAAGCATATTTCGGCCTACGTTTAAATGAATTTTTTTCACAAAATAACTTCGGCAACCACCCCATAAAATATTTCGCATTTATTTACAAATACCCTGTATAACATACCGTTATTTTTATATCACTGTAAGTAAAAAAATATGCCGTTTTAAAATCTCAAAGAAAAAGCAGGGTTGCTATTTAAAAAAAAATCGATGACATCATAGTTTTAGCAAAGATGTCGTAAGGAACTGAAGAAGTAAATTAAAAAGTGCACAATTAATTGTAACTAAAAATCAGTTTGTCTAAGAATTTTTATAAGATATTTCTATATTTCGACAAAATTCCAGTTTCCAAAGAGGTTTCTATTTTATTTCTATACAGGGTGATTCACAACTTATCTAAAAAAATTTGGGAATAGATGCTACATGCAAAATGTTGAAAAAAAAAATTTTTGTAAAATCCTTATAGTTTCCAAGAAAAACATTATTGAAGTTGTAGTATTTTCAACCTTTAGATCGCTGGACTACTATAGTCTCTGGTGTCATTCGCGTTGTGCCCTGTACGCAATGCCCTCTGTCTCTATGTGGCTCCAGACAGTTCCGAATACTGAAATCCGAACGTTACATTTTTGCGATAGTGTTTACATTCGTTTTTCAAGTGCCAAAAATGGTTTACGTGAATAGCAACTCGGGAGTTGATGGATATCATTTTAATTTATGGTGAAGCAAGGCAACATTTGAGTTATTGTGAAGCATTTGTGTTATGGTGAAGCAAGACAACATTTATGTTAGTTCATAGAAACTGGATAAGACGGACCTAAATGTATTTACATGTCGGTGAACAAAATTTTGAACAGTTACAAGTATTTTAAATTATTTTGTTAACTAAAACCACAAATTAATTTTGTTATTTAATAGATAATAATAATAGCGCAGTTGAATTTGCTTTGGGAAAGAAATTCTTTCAATTTTTTGTCCCTTTTATTAACCTTTGCCGTTGTGACGGTGACCGACTACACGTCAGGTTTTACAGTGGACTAGTTTCCAGTGCCGTGCAGAAGTATACTTTTAAATAATTTTTAAACTGCCCTTTTTGATTTTTTTAAACAAAATTGTATTTGTAAGAGTCCCCTGTACATTCAAATTTTTTTTTGGATAAGTTCTAAATCACCCTGTATTATTAATTTGGAAAACTAAAATAATAAAAATACCTGGAAATATTCCACTCCCGAAGACTTATGCAGTTCTTCCAACGTGACGAACTGAGGAGGAATTCTATGGTGTTCCTTTCTAGGAAACGCAACCTCATCGTCCATATACCAAGCACGAACCATTTTTAGGAACGGAACACCTGTTTCTGTTAAAACTTTCTGAAACGCACCTCTTTGACGCCGATAATTAGCACCACTAGTTAAGCAAACAAGTTCATGTGGGTTTAATTAACAAATATTTACTAATTTTATTATGTAGTCACTGCATGCGGCTCAACCAGTGTGCTGTTCATGCAATGTAAACAACGGTATAAATATGAGACTGTAAACAAAAAGCAATATTAGTAGAGTAATCATGTCTCGACTTTCCCTATTAACTGCGTCGTGTACTTTAATTCATGTTGCGTTTTGGTTTCTTCCTATTTAAACAACTGAAAAATGGTGAACTTGTTGGACAGAAATGTATCTATTTAAATTGCACATAAAAAATCCCACTTCTGATCGCATGAAAATTGAATGAATGATACATACCTTTTGGTGGAGCTACAGAAAGAATAGACAAGAAATCCCGCTTCTGATCCCATCAGTGAATTGAAGTATTAACGAAAGATATCCGACGCACCTTTTGATGGAGGGGTGGAAAGAATAGACGAGAGTAATGATCGATTTTTCGTTATATTTATGTAATATGTACTTATGTACATAAATTAATACTATTATTTATTAGATCAAATACGATTAATGACAATCATTCCCGGAGCGTCAACAACAACTCCGACTCCTTTTAATTTTTAGTTAATAACAGTATATAAGCACAATTGTATATTTAGGATTGAAAATAAATAACAGTAAAAATATATTACAAACATCGTATAAAACATACTAAATATAATAAAAACATGAAAATATATTATTATCTGTATAATATATACAGAAGTTTTACAACTAATGACTGTAGGTAGTATAATACGGTACTTGGAATTAAAACGGAAATAACTGTCATTCCGATTTTCAAGTGAATCGCTAATCAAGATGTGACATAGCTGACTACAGTACAACCTATCTAAACGGTGCCTTCCCGTCTCAATACGCAGAAAATAAAATTCCACAAATAGATTTGTTTCACAAACAAATCCAATAAGAAACGCAACAATTTCAAAAGTTTCAAGCACGATAGTATTCAACCGTAAAACAAGCGATTTAAAAAAAATTATACAATCAGACACCGGATTAGATCCATTTAGATAGATTTTACTTTACAATCGGTTATTTCACCTTTCACATCCAAAAGCCTGACAAGGACACCGGATTTTTTTTTGTACTAGCTAAATAGCAAAATGAACAGTGTCTACGATAGCTCAGGAAATTTTTATATTGAGTAGAAATCAGAAATGAACGTGTGATAATATTATCGACACCATCCTAGAGTTATTAAAAAAAATACGTACAAGTTTTAGCAATCGACAAAATAGCTGCAATAATTTTTTTTTAACAGATCGTTTATCGTGATCGCCGATCTTTCAGTTTTCCTTCAAAGGCGGAAAATGTATACATAATAAATAATTATCACTACTAAACACAATTCATGGTATTTACCTACTAAGTGGAGTACACTGTGTTCCGATTTTAACGGAGCCGCCCTTACGTTTTGTTATTTTCAATCAAAATGTTTTGACTATTGGTTACGATTACTTGCAAACCGATTATTTCGATATAACCAAATTATTAGCCGTGGGCGTACGTTCTAAAATTGTAGCGATAGTGTTTACATTAGTTTTTCAAAATTTTTGAAAAATGTATATTAGTAATTATTTTTGTTTAAAAATTTGTAATAATCTAATTTCGCGTAGTGAACTAAATAGTCATAGTTTCTGGAGCAGTATTAAGAAAATTTATAAGAGCTTTATATTCGAGAGAATTTATAAAATAAAATTAGGCAGACACGATTAATTACATTGTTGGAAAAAAGAAAGACGTAATGGAATGGTTGCAAAATTCATATAAAAAGAAAGTTTTAACATTATTTTGTTTGTGAATATTTTCAATAAATGTGAAGAACTAAATGAAAAAATCGCAATGTACTGTTTTTGTAATGCAAAAATATGACTAAAAAGAAGACTATTCCCATTAATTGTGTCAGTTAACTCATATTTGGTTTCATTTTTTCCAATATAAAAAATTTTATGCATTAACGCAGAAAAAGGGTGAATTGAAATTTCAACTATAAAAAATCCCACTTCTGATCCCTTCAACGGATAATGAATGATATGCAACGTATTGTTTGGTAGAGTGGAAAGAATACACAAATCCCACTTCTCATCTCACCAACGAATGAAGTATTAATGAATCATATTCGACGTATCTTTTGATGGAGAAGTGGAAGGAATACACAAAAATAGTGATCTAAGAGAATTGAACAGCTTTGCAAGAAGCAAAAAATGAATGTTTTAACGTTATTTTGTTTGTGAATATTTTCAATAAATGTGAAATACTAAATGAAAAAAATCGCAACGTACTGTTTTTGTAATGCAAACAAATGACTAAAAAGAAAACATTGCCTGACTTTTCCCATTAGCTGTGTCAGTTAACTCATATTTGGTTTCGTTGTTTCCAATATAACAAATTGTATGCGTTAACGCAGAAAAAGGGTGAACTGAAATTGCAACTACAAAAAATCCCACTTCTGATCCCTTCAACGGATAATGAATGATATGCAACGTATCGTTTGGTCGAGGAGAGAATGAATATGCAGATCCCACTTCTGATCCCACCAACGATTTGAAGTATTAATGAATCATATTCGACATAACTTTTGATGGAGGAGTGGAAAGAATACACAAAAAAAAATGATACAAGAGAAAGCTTTGCAAGGAGCAAAAAAGGAAAATTTATAGATTTTATTACACAGTTTGTCTAAATATGAATTAATGCACAAATAATAGACTTTCCTCCATTTTAACGCAGATTACGCAAATTACTCTTTGTTGTAAAGAAATTTGTAATTTGCCACTTTTGAACAAGCGGCATCGGTAGATTTTAGGTATTTTCGTGCTGCTAGTGATCTAACCTATTTGTTACAAATATGTTATTTTTAACGACATATCGCAGGGAAAAGCTGCTTTAGCCAAATAGCTAAAAGATTGTAACTTTTTCAATTTTAGAGTCGGACTAAAATAAAATCTAGTTACATCAGAAAAATCGCTTTCCAGGTAATCATTTCGCGCTAAACTGGCGTCTCTACGAAAAGCGAAACACGGTGCATATTGATGAAAATTAAACTATTAACCTAACCTTGAAAATATTTCACTAACCTAAATTTCACTGAGGTGACCCACGTAGGGCGCCGAGCGTCCCTCCCGCTCAACTAAATCCATTATTTAAAAGGTAACTGTAAAAAATACGACTAATTATGAACACAAGGTGAATTTTAGATCTCACATCGACTCCCTAGTCCGCACTCGCTCAAATGGTAACTTGAAAAGGTGATCGTGAAGATTAAGCAAAATACGTTTAACGAAAACTCACAGCCGCTAAGATATTCCGTTCCCACATAACAACGCACATAATTTCGCCAGGCACATTACTACACTTTGGAAATGTCTATTTTTACTTTCAAAATAAACACAAGTGTAAGGGTAATCCAATCGTTAATTTGCGAACCGGATTTTTAGTCCGTATCGGTAAACTTTTGCCGAGTGGAAATTTACAAATGCAGATAATAAGACAATATTTGTGAAGTTTAACACGTAGAAATGATAATAATGTATGGATGAAGACGTTGTCGGTAGTGCACGTGAAAAGACGAGTATTTTCGTGCGAATGATATTATCACACAGTCCCTGATATTCGCTTGAAACTTTCAGTCTCTCGGTAGGATGGGAAAAATTTCCAGAGCTACAAAGCTTAAAAGATGACAGCACCAAGAGATAGTGCAGGCACGCGTGGGGTAATACTGACTGTCGCTGCCACACATTCAACAATATGTACTCATCGCTGGTAACCCAACAAACAACAACTTTAATGTACAATTAGTAATACTATGAGTTATTTACGATACAAGTTTTGTTTCAGTCCATTAAAGCTCATATGTCATCTCGCACACAAGTTTCCTCTGGTTCTCCTCGTTCGGTTTGTACAGGTGCACGGCACATTTCTTATACACTTTTGCTCTTTTATCGACGATAGGGAGGTAGCATGGGCTGCATTTGAATGCGAGCAGCGGAACACTACATGGTCATTTTCTTAAGTTAGTGGAGCTCCGCACCATATCAAGATCGGATGTCCTCGGGCCGTCTGTCCGTTGCCACGCGCAGCAAGTTCACGAATTCTACCTCTAACGTCTGCCTCACCTGAAAATAAAACACATTCGTCATCGAGTCAAACGTACCTTCCGAGTTTCGTACTTGTGTATTTTGTGTTGGTATCTGCAATGCCAGCGCCATGCTGTTAGCGTCGAAACTCTCGTCCAACGCGATTAAAGCACCATGGACTCCAGATTCTAATAAATTATTTGCATATTCCTAAAAAAAAAGTTGTCGCTTTAGTCGTTAATTAAATTTTAATGGCACTGCTTACTTTTAATCCTATAGACACCACCCATCTGATCAAGCGTTCGTTACTCCATACTAAGACGTCCGAGACGGTATTCTCACAATTTTTTCGTCTATCTTCTAACAAATTTCGATCGTAGTTTAATCTCTTCAAACATGATATGCCATACTGCAGACTAGTCCTGTAAAATATCATTTTTATAAAAAAAAGCCTTCATTAATGTTTCAAATCGTCAAGTAGCCCAGTAAATGAAAAAAAAATTGTACAAAAATTCGTTTCAGATTGAAACTTGGTTTAATCGTTAGTTTAGGCAAAAAGAAATAATATTTCCCAAAAAGTATCGGTTTAAAACAACAAGACCATTGTTTAAACAATGATTATAATGTAAAAATTATCAAAAATGGAGTTTTTTAACTGTATTAAAAAGCGCTCTCCAACAGGAGTTTTTGCTTTTGTTTATACTTATAGGTTTTCAATAACCGCTTCATTTGAGACGTGCTAAATTAAAATCCATTAACAATTTGTTTAAATAATTTCAAAAAACCAGCGAAATTTGAATTTGCTATAAATAGAAGAAAAGAGCATAAATCGTCTCTAAACTGCAGTAAAAGTTGTATTTTGTTACTCTTAAGAAACCCTGAATATTTGGTAAAAAAATATTTATTTGTTTACAAGTTACAACATTAAGTAACATTTTTTCTATTGCAAAAACGAAGTTGTTGTGAAAAAATTCAGGAAATGACATACTTTTTATGTATAAAGTTTATTTTAATGAGAATCGAGTGTTTCAATTTATTTACCTGTTTTAAAATATAATTTAATGTTAAAAAATAATATTATTATGCATATATATCCAAAAACTCGATTCTCATTAAAATAAACTTTATACATAAAAAAAAGTCATTTCCTGAATTTTTTTTACATAAAAATATTGTTTTTTTGAAAAAACTGTCTATTGGTACCATTGTGAAAAATTATTTCTCAAAAAAATGCTAAAAAAAATTGTTTTACAAAGTTTATAGTTTATAACAAATTAATAATTAATTATTGCAAAATGGACCATTATTTTTGTGTTACCCCAAATTAAAAAAAAACGTTACAATTGGTCCACAGTTACCAGATATCGCAAAATTTTCGGGCAGTTAAGATTTGTAGTTTTGGAACGTTTGTCTTATTTTCCCCACCACATTCCAGGTGTAAAAATGTATTCGAGGACGTTTTTCAAAGGGTTAAAAATTACTATAAAAAGCATTTTTTTCAATATCTTTAACCGTTATTATGAAGTTTAAGGGTTCATTGATTTATTCCCGAAATTTCAAGTCTTAATGTTTGTAAATAAACAAGTTATGAATTAAAAAAAAAGCGCTATCTCTGCTAAAAATGGTCCTAGAACAATTTTTTTTTCAAATTCGTGAAAAATTACCATGATTACGAATATCAAAGCGGCTTTAAAAAATATTCATTCTTCGCAGTTATTAATGAAAAACCTTATAAACAAATTACACTATTTGTTTATACGCCGTTTTAAGGAGGTTAGCCTATGAAATTATGCGGGAATTTTGAAAAAAAAAATATTAATTTTTTTATTTTTTAATAAACACCACTAATGAAATTAAGAAATTAAAAATACAGTTAAAAGTTGCATTTTTACTGTTAAAATATTTTTTAAAATTGAAACGATGCAATTCCAATTTTTTCCACGGACAGCAAATTACCCAAATAAACACCAAACTTTATTTAGGCCAATCAGATTGCCGAAAATACCTCTTTTTGCCAAAATTTAATTCAGTAAACAAAGACACATAGAAAAAGGAAAAATTCCATGGAATTGAACGAACTACTTTACCCCAGCTGAGTGTTAGGGCTTTGTGGGTACACACGTTCGCAAGTGACCCATCTTTAAGTACCTTGTCAACAGCGCCAGCCTGACGCCACCCGTGACACAGCAGGGTTCCAGGAAGGGTCCGCGACGAATTGGCGCCAGCGACCAGATGCTTACTCAGATACCTGCAAACGTGTCCACATACAACAGACTCTCCAGCGAACGCTCGCCCCGACAACAGCTTTTTCACAAACTTTGTTTTCAATACAAATATTTATATTTACCGTCGAGAGAGAGTTTCATTTTGCTGCACACCGAAAGCAACCCTTCTTTCTTAAAATGGCATCCAAAGTCGAAAAAAACAGTTTTTTTCATTTAAAACATAACTTAGAAACTTAGAAAAAAATGTCAAACAAGAGTTGTAGAATTTTTTATACCAAAAATTTTGAGCCCAGCCTATATCAATTGATAAACAAATGCATTAATTACTGCAAAAAAAACGGCTAAAATTGGAATTTTTTTAAAACTTCTGTCTAAAACAAGAAAAGATTTTTTTACGAAACAGAAAATAAAATTTTTCGAAAAAAAGAAAATTTTTTTCAAGTTTCAATAAATCATACAGTAATGCACATACGTGACCCATCTTGGACTTTAAATTTTCTCTAAGAGTTGTACTTTCCTGTGCAAATTGTGTGTGTATTGCAAAATAAAATAATTGGAAATATAATTTTAAATCACTACGACCTCATTTATTAATATTAAGTTCTGCAATTTACACATGTTGTAGTTGAATACTTTCATTTCAATATAAAAAATATTCTGTAATAATCGGCCGTTTTTTTTACAGTAAACTTAATTTTGTTGGGCCCCGTAAAATGCTTACTCTGCTCGGCAAATTGATACATGTGGTGGAGGCTGAAAGACTGTGACTTAACGTTCTCAGTAAATGCTCGGTGTGCCTGCACAATTCACAGTTTTTTCTCCCCCCCCCCCACCATGCGCATCAACATGTCAAGCATTTTACGGGGCCCAACAAAATTAAGTTTACTGTAAAAAAGGGAGTCATTCATTGCGGACTACTTTTTATATTGAAGTAAAAGTATTCAACTACCACATGTGAGGGTATAGCTATTTTTTGAAAAAAAAAAAAAAAATAAAAAATTCGCGGCTCCTGTTGGTTGTAGGGCATTTTTTTTAAATTCGTGACAAAATGTCAGCTTTCAAATGGCAATAATGCCATTCCGATAAAATTTCAACAATAAGATCTACATTTTTTGACCCAAAAAAAGGAAGTCAAAGTTTCAGCAGATTTTTCGCATATTTCCAATTATTTTGCCACACGTGCACAATTTGCACAGGAAAGTAGAATTCTTAGAGCAAATGTGAAGCCCAGGATAGGTCACGTAAGTGCATTACTGTGATTTATTGAAACTTGAAAAAATGCCTTTTTTTCGAGAAACTCAATTTTTGCAAAAACTAAAAAATATGTTATTTTTTTCTAAAATGCACTTATTCTACTTGCCAAGCTGAAAGCTTCGACAAAAATCTCTTTTCATTTTAAAGATATAGAAGTTTAAAAAAAATGTGATTTTTAGCAGTTTTTTTGCAATAACTAATACATTTGTTTATCAATTGACATTGCTCTGAGCTCAAAATATTTGTTATAAAAAGTTCTACAACTTCTTTCTAAAACATTTTTTTTAAATGTTTATTTTTTTAATCAAAAAAACTTTTTTTGTTTTTTTATGAACTTTGCGCCATTTTGTAAATGAAACCTTAAATATTCAGCTGCGGGTAAAGTAGTTCATTCAATTCTAGGAATTTTTCCTAATTTTTACGTGTTTTTGCTTACTGAACTAAATTTTGGCACGTAAAAATCTAATTTGATTGGACTAAGTTCCTGGTTTTTAACGGTCCTCTACCAATCAAAAACATCCTTACCTGTGAAAGCTGTCCACCATTTTCAACTGCCCCCTCAAATCCTTCTTAGTGAGATGGTCCAGCATCCTGGCATCCACTAAGCACTCCATAAACGTCGTCCTGTACTGCGGAAGACCCAGAGAAGGCAACCAGGCATTGCCGATCCACTCGTGGTTCATATCCCCAAACGCCAAAGTCGTTCTCGAGGTCTTTGGCGCCGAAGGGGAAGTTAGCGACACCATCTCCTGAATGGCCAGTCTCAGCTTCAAGCGGTGCAGCGGGTTGCTGATTCCTATCTCCCTCTGGATCTCCGTGTCGCTCAGAGCGCTCATTATGGCACCGGACTTGACGTTGGCACGGCACGCAGCCACGTACCATGCGGGCATGCCCACCCACAATTCAAGCCAAGCTACGATGGTGGGACCGTTCCAGAGGGCGAACGGAGTGCCGGCCTTCATGGCTTCCGCCAGCAGCTCATGTCTGTAATCACGCTCCCTTTCAGGAAGAATTTTTCGGTTAAATAACACGCACCTCTCGAGACCTTGATAGAAACTTTCGGTTCGTTTAATTTCAAATTTAAATCGTGACGTGACTGACGGAGTGATTTTATTTATTTTCGGGCAACGATTCAGCATCATGAGGTGGTGTTTAAAACGTTTTCCTTGGAACTTACTGTTCGATCTTGGGAATGGTGCTAGGTTAAGCTATGTTAATGATTTATTTGCGACAAGCAGTGAGTAAGTGGTGTTAATAGAAATAATAAATATATGTTACTATTTCGGTAGACCTAAATAGTAAAAAAGAATTGCTTTTGCCATTGAATCTGCATTTTTACCGTAACTCTTAAAGATAATCAAAATTTCTGCAAAGTTAAATATATTTTTGCTATAAATTGAAAAACTTATAGTTAATCTCTAAATTTTTTAAGAAATATTGCAAGGCAGTGCTTTATCGTGATTTCGAAAAGTTCAAACGACTAAATCTACACCCAAAATTTGCATATTGACGACCAACGATGCCAACATTATGAAATAAAAATTACTATTTCGGTCCTTTACGATGTGGAAATTTAAATTTGAAATTAAGTGATTAGGTTGGTGGATATTCGGGGGATAAATAACATTTAGTAATAAGCTCTCTTATCGCCTCTAATATTTAAAAAACGGGAATCCAACAAATATTTACCGGCAATTTCATTGGTGACTTGATTTCTATTAAAATAATTATGTTTATTGCATTCCAGTTCGTAGATTTAATTGTGTGATATTTTAAAAAGTCTTAAAAACAACAAAAATATCGAGTTATTTTCGCCAGCTCAAAAACGAAAATATGTTTTAATATCACACAAATAAAATATTCTTTGGCTAAAAATTGTTAAGAGAAGCAAAGCGAGGAAAGGTGAAATAAACACAATTAAATAAAATTAATACGTCAAAATAAATTTTGTCTGTATGTGGGATATAACCTACAAAGTATATGTCACTGCTTTGTACCTACTGGCAAAGAGTGACCTACTAATCTGTGGGTGCTATGAAAGCACGACTTGCCCAATAAACTTTTTAATTGGTGATATTGTGGGAAACAACCACTTTGCAAGCTACATGGTCCGTTCAGCATGGAATTACACTCTCAATATCTGTTTTAACAGTTTAATTGATATTGGGGGTGTAATTCAATGCTGGATGGAGCAGGGAGCTTGCAAACTAGTTGTTTCCCATAATATTATCAGTCAAAAAGTTTCTTAAACAAGTCATGCCTTTATAGCATCTATAGATTGTCACTCTTTGTCAGTGGGTACAAAATAATTTTAAGTTTTGCGTTATTTATTTCACTTTTCTTTTTTAATTTCTGGATTTTGTATTAAAAACCCTTATTAGATGATATTAGTAGATCATGTAATCCTCCCTCTAAATTCGATGACGCTTAAAATACGAGTATTTTACACACCCGTTCTAAGTTTAAGAAATTAGAGAGAGGCAAGTGTAAGCTTAGTCAATGAAAAAATATCGTACACCCACTTTTTCTTCTGTCTGCGGTCAAAGTCACCCTTTTGTCCGATTTTCCCGGATATGCTCATCGTATCGCTCAGATCGCCGTCGGGCATTCCAATGCTGCTCTGGCTTTGATTCAGGCCAGCGTCCTGCCCGGAAACTTCCTTTCCTTTCACCTGGCCGCATAAAAAAACATAAGATATTCCCTCAAACGTATTTACGTTTACATTAGAACACTAACCTTCTCCTTTTTGCTGAAGAACCGGCCGAGAGACGACTTGATGCCCTTCTTCTTCTGGGCGGTGGCGGCGGCGGCTACGGCAGCGGCCGACGACATGTCCCGGGGCAGGCCAGTCACGGTGTTCTTGTGGAGGCTCTCCTGACTGCTGTGACGAGAGGACAGAGGTGATGGAGGAGTGTGCGTCTGCCCTTGCCTAAACACACTGCATTCTACTTTCTAAACTATGTCTAATAGGACGTGCGATTCAGCTTAAGCGGTAACATGCCGATGCGACAACAACAAGGCAAAACGAAAGAGAAGGAATAAGGTTAGTATTTTTACTCCATTGTCAAAATAATAGGCAGTAAATCAAACGGTTGTATTCTCTGCACAGAAATTGTAATGTGCCATGCATTTCGCATATTGTTCCGGTAATATACAAAAAGAGAGATGATTGAGGCTCTATGATTTGATTTTTGAAATCACTCAATGTGTGAGTTTCCAATTGTGTATCAGTGCACGTCATAAGCGCACAAGTCGGAAAGACATTTTATTTTATTATTTTCACATTTTAATTATTCCAATAAATGCTGTGAAAATTTGAATCATATGCTGGTGTTAATGGCCAATGGGATATTCAGAGTAGTCATAAATGATCAAATTTAACACATCAATAATGTTGCGTGGTATACAATATGTATAAAGGAATTACGATGGCAGAAGACGAAGATTTGCATTTATTGTCCGGAAAAGTTTTACTGCATACTATGCATGAAATGAATTTCAGAAATAAATGAACAAGACATATATTTAAAAAGATTTTCAAGCGGATTGTAACCGAAGCGACGCTAAACCTACTTGAAAACCCTTAACTTTTCAATAATTACACAGGACAACAAAATTTTATGAATGGTCACACCCAAAAACCAGATCTCACTTGCCCGAAGGTTTTTGGTGCGTAGAATCCGAATCTGGCGTCAGAATTGCTCCTATACGTCACGTTTCCCAGATATTCTAACCTCAAAGAGCAAAAAACACGTTTTTTGCTATATTTTAACTTATATAAGAGCGAAAAATTTTTTTTCTAAAAACGAATCATGCCCTCTTAAACTACCACTTTTACCCTTCAAAACGCTTTTTTTAGATTGGAAAAATATTTTTTATTCGCGGAGATATCATTGAATGAAGATAGGTACTTTAGCATTTTTATAACAGTGGTGCTTCAGAAAGCGGAAATAATATATTTACATTTTTTTTGGATCGACCAATCCGAATCTGACCTCCAAGTTATTCTATCATTTTAGGATTCTGAGATTTCTTAACCTAAAACTGCAAAATCAACGATTTTAGGATGAACTATCGGTATTAACCAGACAAGTTGATTTTGTAGTTTTAGGTTAGGAAATCTGAGAATCCTAAAGTGATAGAATAATTTGGAGGTCAGATTCGGATTGAGCTACCCAAAAAACATGAAAATATCCGCTTTCTGAAGAACTTTTTTTGATTTTAGTACCACTGTCCACCAATAAAAAAGATTTTTCAAATCTGAAAAAAGCGTTTTGAAGGGTAAGAGTAGTAGTTTTAGATGGCATAATTCGTTTTTAGAAAAAAAATATTATTTCACTCTGTGATATAAGCTCAAATATAGCAAAAAAACGTGTTTTTTGCACCTTTAGGTTAGGATGTCTCGGAAACGTGATGTATAGGAGCAATTCAGACACCAAATTGGGATTCTACGGACCAAAAATCTTCGAGCAAGTGAGGTCTGGTTTTTGGGTGTGAAAATTGTTGCCCTGTGTAATTATAGAAAAGTTAAGGGTTTTCAAGTAGGTTTAGCATCGCCATAAAGTCGCCGAGAGACTAGTGCTGTTTCTCACCGGGAGTAATGAATTCGCAAAGTCGTCCTTCGGAGAGGGCCTCATAAAATTTAGCAATGTTTTTGAACAAGTTTACTTATTATAATGCTGTTTAATTATTCCTTCTCTTTTTTAAACAAAACAAGAAACACAAACACCATGATTTTTATGGTTTTGTTACTAACTTATTTTAATGATTGCTGATATGTACATAAAAAAAATAGGAAATCAAACACAACACAAATACTAGCAAACAATTAATAACCTGTATGTAACTCCTGGCTGAAGACCACTTGCGCCTGTTCTTCTGTTTTTGCAAAATAAATGTCAAAATGAGTACGAAAAGTTGTATAAATCACAAAGATTTTGCAATTGCAATGTTTTCTTGTAAGGATTTTATGTAAAATTTACATATTTTTTTAATATAAAGTTTCTACATATTTGCAAAAAATTCTCAAAATAAAAGAAATTAAATAATTTCGAACGAAAATTTACCGATGAGGGATCGTTACTGTGAAACACATTTGCATATTTCAATACTACATCATAAAAAAATCGTTTAAACCTACCTCCTGAGTTCCTCCTGGCTATGCGCCAGCGCCTGCGCCACCCTCTCCAATCGCAGGGACCTGGCCGTCAAGGGCGACGCCCCACCCCCGCTGCTGCTGTCGCCCATGTGCATCTCCTCCCTAGACATCTCAGAAGACAACGGTGCCAACTGGAGCTACGAGAGCGACACTTTAATTTTATTGAAAACGGAAAACAAACGTCACAAGTTTACACTAACATGCAGCTAGTGAGTGAGAGAGAATCATGTGCGTGTGATGTCTGTTAAAGCCAACAAAATATTTCAATAAGTACAAGTCGTACGATAAAGAAACACTCGTCGTTCAAGGGCGGCACATAAGACGAAGGAAACATTCGTCGGCCGTCCTCAAACGACAGTTTTCACGGAACTGCCCGTATGACGCAGATTTTAAAACAATCGCCACTTAAAAACTTTGTCGTTTCGGCGAAATAGACATTTTTTCTACGTCACTTGGACGTATTCCGTGATCCGAAGTGTTTAGTTATCGCATTGTGACTGTTATCGCCGAACTTCGAATGACATTGTTCTATAACAAACCTGACTGGAAGGCAACGATTCGGACAAGGTGCCGGGGCTCAACGTAGAATGATATTGTTGCAAATGCGCTGGAGACATACTGGCCGGTGCCTACAACATCACATGTTCACACTCCAAATATATTTCCTTTTTAAATCTCGTGCAAACGTCCGACAGAGAGACCAAAATTAGTTGGCTTTATTCGTGACCAGAGAAATAACGAAAGTGCTTTATGGAAACATGAGTGCATGCTTAAGGAGGTAAGAATCCACCACTGGTCCGATACGCCCTCGACTCGATTCGTAGTCCTTTCTCGAGCCTCGAAATAGTTCCGGCCTGCGTGGCGGAGGCGTACAGCGACAGACGAGACTTGAGGGTAAAGCGGGCTTTGAACGGTAGTTCAAACGTACAAGTAAAGCAGAAGCGTCGGGAAGTACACAAAAGGTGGCAATCTTCCACATCTATTACGATTATCAATTAATGGGTTTCTGGTTTCGTTAAAATAACAGATAAATTCGTTAAAATAAAAATTAAAAGGAAACGAAAGAATTGGCTCCAACAAACTTTAGGGTAATCACTAGTGTGTCTTTTCCTCAAGTTTTCAACATTGAATTCTATCAAAAAAAGTTTCAGGTAAAAGTCGTAAAATATCAAGAAGTCAATGAGCTGGTGATCTTGAATTTGACCTTGACCTTAGGTTTCAAAGTCAAATCAAGGCCAACTTGAAAATAAATGGTACACCCTATTTTTTATTCCAGTAACTGATAGGATGTTTTCGCCGGAAAAGGTGTTTCATTAAGCAGGTTCTATGGCAAATAGGCAACCAGCAATACGTTTTTATTGATTTTACTACACAGTTTGTCTAAATATGAATCAATGCACAAATGACAGACTTTCCTCCATTCTAACGCAGATTTTCCATAAAATGGAGTTAGTTTGAAACTCAAATTACTTTTTGTTTTAAAGAAATTTGTAATTTGCCGCTTTTGAACTTCATAAATTACAAATTTCTTTACAACAAAAAGTAATTTGAGATTCAAACTAACTCCATTCTACCCCTCCTGGGAGCTGTATGACCTTGTCGCTGGTGGAGGGGCTTAAGTAGCTACAGTGAACCCAAGAGCTAAACCGACGGGAGTTTTATACTCCTGGCAGGGTCACCCAAGCCGGAAAGGTCGAGGGAGAGTAGTGAAAACTAAGAAACAGCTCAGCTACCCAAGCCAAGGTGGAAACGCATCGTGCCGAGGGCTGAATGGTGCGGGGGTAGGTAAAAATGTCGCATCGCAAACGATCTCTTTGGGGAACCTGGCGCACCCCATCGTATTTAGCCTTCTGTCAGGCATGGGGCACTACCTGGCGGTGACTTTTATTTCCTCCAGACTCGTGGGACCTTTATGGACCATAAATCAAAAAAACGGGAACCCGAAAGGGGGCCGTCAACATCCGCCGGGGAAGCAGTAATTGCTGACCAGGCGGAAAATAAAACAGCCACTGGGAAGCAAACACCAGTGACTACTATCTCTAGGGGAGTCGACAGACTGAACCTGGAAGGTAGGAAGAAATTGTCTGGTGCGCAAAAGCGCAAACTTAAAAAACTGTGGAAGGCAGAGGCGGGAAAAGGACAGGGGCCGGTGACGGAACCTGGCTCAAGTACCACTCTAACTCCGCAGGCTGCTGAACCGGGGCCAAGTGGACTCGGGAAGAAACGTGGACGGTCGGACGGTAGTGAGCCGATTTCCGACCGGCCTGTTTCCAAGAGGCCTAAGGCCACGGGACAGCGTGGCAAGACTTACGGGGAGGCGCTGTCGGGGATCCAAGCAGTGGTGGTCCCCCATGGATACCCGGAGGTCCGAATGGATGAGGACCAGATGGGACTTGTCCAGTCGGCGCTTCTGGGGGCCATTGATGGGATCGCGGGCGAGGGTACACGACCGCGCTTCCTGGAGTGTCGTCGAAGGGGGGGAACGCTAGCGATCACCGCCTTCAACGAGGAGAGCCTGCAATGGCTGAAGATGACCACGGCGAGCTTGGTGCCTTGGGAGGGGGCTAGACTCAGCGCTGTTGAGCCTAGGGACCTACCTAAGTTCACTAAGTTCATCGTGTGGATTCCGGGTCATCCTGATGAACCGGAAACCATCATGCGCCGTCTGGAAAACCAGAACGGGGAATTGAGGACGGGGGCCTGGAGGCTAATCAACCGCAAGGTTGAGGTGAAGGGCCAGACCCTAGTCCTCTCAGTAGATGAGATGAGTGTGAAGGTACTTCAGAAGGAGGGCTTCAGACCATTTCTGAACTTCACCAGGGTCCTTTTTAGGAACCTGGAGAAGGGCAGGGTAGATTTGGGACCTTCTGATGAAGATCAGGAGGGACCAAAATCTGTATTATCTGGTCAAATTCCAGGTAATACAAGCGAACATTCAGCACAGTAGAGCGGCATCTGCTGCTCTCTGTGCCAGTGTGGCGCGCGTAAATGCGGATTTAGCTTTGATCCAGGAGCCTTGGGTACATGGATCCCGGATCAGAGGATTGCAGGTAAGTAATGGTGGCTTACTGTATTGTGGCCACCAAACTAGACCTAGAGCTTGTATTTATTACAAGAGTAGTATTAATATTTTTCCTCTTCCAGGGTTCTGCACGGATGACCTGGTGGCGGCCGAAGTGACTTATGTATCGGAGGGAACGCAGAGACAACTGGTAGTTTGCTCAGCGTACCTCCCTTACGATAAGAAAGAATCTCCTCCAACCAGGGAACTGAGGGACCTGGTGGCCTGGTGCGAGAAGGAGAAGAAACAACTCATCGTGGGATGTGATGCTAACTCACACCATACGGTGTGGGGAAGCAGCGATGTCAACGATCGAGGTGAGTCTTTACTAGATTTTCTTTTTAGTTATAATCTAGAGATTTTGAATGTCGGGAACGAGCCCACCTTTGTTATAAAAAACAGAAGTGAAGTCATCGATATAACAGTGGGATCGGGACCGATATGTAATAATATTGCGAGGTGGCATGTGTCGAATGAGCCGTCAATGTCGGATCATAGACATATCCACTTTGAAATTATAACGGATTATAATCCGCAAGTAAGAACCTACAGAGACCCAAAAAGAACTGACTGGGACTCCTATAGAACGGAGTTACAGGCCAGGACTAGGGAAATCTGTACAAAACTAAGGAACACATATGATCTTGAGAGGGCCGTGGAGGAACTCCAAAACGCCGTCACAAGATCATATGAATACAGCTGTCCTATCAAAGTGAGGTCCGATAAGCACACCGTACCCTGGTGGAGCAAGGAACTCACGCAGTTGAGGGGACAGACAAGAAAACTATTTAATAGAGCAAAGCGGACAGGAGAGTGGGAGGCTTATAGAGCAACCCTCACTGAGTATAATAAAGAAATTAGAAAAGCGAAGAGAAACTCATGGAGGAAGTTCTGTGAGGATATTGATAGTGTCCCACAGTGCGCTAAACTCCAGAGACTTCTCTCTAAGAACGGACATACGAAACTCGGGTCTCTCAAAGCACCGAGTGGGGAATATACCAAAACTGGAAGGGAGACATTGGAATTACTTCTAAATACTCACTTTCCAGGCTCCAGGTTATTAAATCATGGAGATGAATATGACTGGAATCACCAGCAGAGGGTAACGACCGGGTCTCGACAGAACTGGGAGGTTGCCAAGACGGTGGTGAGTCAGTCACGAATAAGATGGGCAATAAGTTCTTTTGACCCATTTAAATCACCAGGAGCCGATGGAATCCTACCTGTACTGCTACAGCAGGGGGTGGACTGTCTAGCTCCGGTCTTAATTCACGTCTTCAGAGCCAGCATTGCACTTGGTTATATACCGCTGGCATGGAGATCGACGAACGTGGCGTTTATTCCTAAACCAGGGCGTCCATCGTATGCCCAGGCAAAGGCATATCGCCCGATAAGTTTAACATCTTTCCTCCTGAAAACGTTGGAGAGAATAGTTGACAGGCATATAAGGGACGGGGTATTGAGGGCAAATCCTCTGCACAAGTACCAATATGCCTATCAGGCAGGCAGATCAGTCGACACAGCCCTTCATAGCCTAGTCTCTAGGATAGAGAGGGCAATGGACGACAAAGATCTAGCTTTGGCAGCTTTTTTAGATATTGAAGGGGCATTTGATAATACACCTTTCGAATCTATTAATTCGGCAGTTCGCAACAGGGGCCTTGAAGACACTTTGTGTCGTTGGATAGATACCATGTTGAGAAACCGGACAGTAACAGCTACCCTTTCGGGAGAGACATCCAGGTGTAAGGTAGGCCGGGGCTGCCCCCAGGGAGGCGTACTGTCTCCCTTGTTATGGGGATTAGTGGTGGACGGCGCACTGGAGGGCCTTAATCGAAAGGGGTTTTATACACAAGGCTATGCGGATGACTTGGTCGTTCTCATAGTCGGGAAACATAATATTATCGTTTCAGAACTCATGAAAGAGGCTTTGAAATGGATAGATGACTGGTGTAAGGGGCAGGCACTGTCAGTAAACCCTGACAAAACGGTCGTAGTACCCTTCACTAGGAGAAGAAATTTAACTGGACTCTCTGAACCTATAATAGGGGAGAGGGGCATTACATGTTCCAGGGAAGTAAAATATCTAGGAGTGATACTGGATAATAAGCTTACCTGGAATGCGCACTTGGAAAAAGTGGTGAGTAAGGCGAAGCAGACACTGTGTGTATGCCGCCGCCTTATTGGGAAAACCTGGGGACTGAAACCAAAGATGTTACACTGGTTGTATACGTCGATAGTAAGACCCAGGATTCTTTACGGCGCGGTGGTATGGTGGCAGAAAACACAACAGACCACAGCGAAGGAAAAACTGAATAGAATTCAGAGATTGGCCTGTTTAGGTATAACGGGGGCGATGGCATCGACCCCGACAGCTGCACTAGAAGTCATGCTAAATCTGCCACCGCTGCATATAGTGGTGGAGAGAGAAGCGCGGCTAGCAGCATATCGACTCAGGAATAATAATGACTGGAGGGGTGGTTCCCACTCCAGGATCAAAGATACATCTATGTCGGAACCAATTCTTGAGATGGTATCCGACAAGATGGTTCCAAAGTTTCACTTCCACAAGCCATTTGAGACTCGAATAGAGGATCAAAGCGAGTGGGAGGAAAGGTTTAATACCCTGGAAAGGTGGAGCCTAGTATGGTTTACAGATGGCTCCAAAATGACCAGAGGGACGGGTGCAGGAATATATGGACTCAGACCCAGATGGAGTGCAAGCTACAGTCTGGGGGAGTTCCCTACTGTATTCCAAGCAGAAATCTTCGCAATAATGGCGTGTCTGCAGAGAATGTACGTAGAGGCTATAGACGTAAACTCATATATATATTCTCTGATAGTCAAGCTGCAATTAAAGCTTTAGCCGCACACAAGGTAAGTTCAAAACTGGTGTGGGACTGTTTACAAATGCTAACTGAACTGGCCACCAGCAATACAGTCAGGCTGTGTTGGGTGCCAGGGCACAAAGGCATTTGTGGAAATGAGAAAGCGGATGAACTTGCGAGGAAGGGATCCGAAACAGTGTTCATTGGCCCGGAGCCCTTCTGTGGCACATCTCCCAGTGTGGTCAGGCGGGCTGTGGGCAAATGGACAGAGACAGAACATAGGAAATACTGGACTTCAAGGCCAGGACATAGCCATTCCAAGGAGCTTATGGAGTATCCTTCGAATGGAAGAGCGATTGAGTTACTGAGCTTGAACAGAATCCGGCTCAGGAGAGTGACAGGACTCATAACGGGACACTGTCACTTTAAGAAACATCTACATAGACTAAAGCTTGTAGACAGTCCGGTCTGCCGAGGATGTGAATCGGCGGATGAAACTTCTCTGCATATCCTGGGCGAGTGCCCGGGATTTGCACGTAGCAGAATGGCGCTCCTTGGGAGACCCTATTTGGAACCCAAGGAGCTGAGAGAAGTGTCAGCAAGGAAGCTTTTGGACTTTGTAAAAAGGACAAATCTACTTGCTGAATAGGACTAGTAGTGGGACGCACAATAGGCCTAATTAGGCCGCAGTGCTATGGGACTTTTTAAAGGACCAACCACTAGATGATGAAGATGAAGACTAACTCCATTCTACAGAAAAACTGCGTTAGAATGGAGGAAAGTCTGTTATTTGTGCATTAATTCATATTTAGACAAACTGTGTAATAAAATCTATAAAAATGTATTACTGGTTGCCTATTTGATATAGAGCCCTCTCAAGTTTTAATTATTAACCCAAGAGTGTGTTAAATTACAAAACTGTAGCCAAGGTCATACTAAATTGAGTTTTATTACTTTTATATCCATTATTTTTATCGAAAACTTGGTATGACCTTCAAACGCATTGCAAGAACATCCTGGAAAAATTCTTTGACACCAGATTCCCAAATAAAATTTGGTGTTTTATCAGTTGCTTGTATAAGAAATAGCGTACTCTCTTTGATATTATAAAGACCTTAGTTTGACCTTGTGACTTGTGGTGAAGGTCAAATCCAAGGTCACCATCTAATTTTTCATTCAAAATCCTACAAAATCTATTTTTGTTGATATATCGAAAAAATTTGGCCTTCTATTGATTGCTGGCATAAAAAATGGGGTGTTCTGTTTAATATTTCGAAGAAGATCTTGGTGTGACCTTGAAATCAAGGTCAGGTTATCGGCGTATTGGTTTTTTGATATCCTATTTTTTTATATTTTTTTGGACATCCTGTATATGTAGTGGTTAGGGTGGCCTAAAAAAATTTTTTTTTTCGTATCTTGTGAAAATATGTTAGTTTATCTTGTTTTAAGAGACCCCTCAAAAAATCAGCTCAAAAACATTTTTTTAGAGGTCGCTCAAGATTTTTAAAAATTTCCAAAATCGTCAAAAATTTAATTTAAAAAAAACAAAAAATTTTCTCGTTATCATTTTCTAGGTTGAAAAAAATCTCGATTCTGAATATTTCAAATTGTTATTTTAATTTCTAAAGGTCGCTCATAATTATTTTAACTTTAAAAGTAGTGTACCTAAAATGTTTTCGAGCAACCTCTAAAAATAAATATGAACCAACTAATAATTTTTTTTATCGAATTTGATCAACGAAAGAATAGAAATAAATCACGATACTTAAAAAATTTCTTGAGGCAAAATTTACTACCGCACCGAGTATCAAATATTTATCATTTTTAAATATTTTATAAAATTTAAGTGTCTCGTGATTTATTTCTATTCTTTTGTTCTTCAAATTCAATAAAAAAAATTATTAGTTCGTTGATATTTATTTTTAGAAGTCGCTCGAAAACAAAGATACATTACTTTTAAAATTAAAATAATTATGAGTGACCTTTAGAAATTAAAATATCGATTTGAAATTTTCAGAATCGAGATTTTTTTCAACCTAGAAAATAATAAATAATGAGAAAAAAAATTTAATTTATGACGATTTTGGAAATTTTAAAAAATCTTGGACTTCTAAAAAATTTTTTTTGAGCTGATGTTTTGAGGGGGCTCTTAAAACATGATAAACTAACATATTTTCACTTGAGACAACAAAAAAAAATATTCGTTTTTTTTTGGGCCACCCTAGTGGTGGTATTAAAAATTAAATACCGATTTTCTCCTTCACAGCCATTTTTTTCATAAATTAAAGTTATTATTTTTAGTAGGAATTTTTTTTGTTTTGTTGTTCGTCTTGTGGATGTTTTTTTTAATTTGTATTTATTTTAAACTTTTCGTTGCAGTTGTTCACGACATATTTGATTTTTAGTTTGACATTGTCGGCTTAGATTAGGCTCCCTTAAGTTAAATACGTATTTTTTAAAAAATTTCACGTTCATTTTTTTTTGTACCTTTACGATTTTTTTTGTCTTATATCACTACTTCTTCAACGAGAGCCTATTGTTTTTTATTAAATTGAAAATTTGTTATTTTTGATTGCCCTAAAATGTTACAGACCCATGAATTTACTCTTATTCTTTCAATTTATCAAAAAAAAAAATAAAATTCTCAAAACCCATTAATTCTAATTTCTGCAAGGTTCGAAATGATCTAACTCACTCTAAGGCTGCTATAGTAAGTTCTATAAGAGGAAAATTTACAAGTAAATCACACTGTTTCTTAGCATAGTCCGTGACGTGGTGAATCCTTAAAGAAAGAAAAGCAAAGACGAGAAGAGAAAGAACCCAGCTCACCGTGTGATACTTATGTAAATAATCCCTCTGGGGAGAGTGATGTGATTTAGGAGTAGATCTACCGCTTACAGGGGGGCTTTGCCGCTCCAGACTGCGTCCCCTCGCCAGCAGATTCATGTGCTCCATGCTGCCGACGCGGGACTCCAACTCCTCCGCCCTTGCCTCGGTGTTCTGCTTCTCCTCCTGGATGAGACGGATCTCGTTGTTGATGGCGTCGAGCTGCTCCTGCAGCATCATGGCTAGGGTTTGAGCGTCGGTGTGGCCGCTGGGCGACAGGATGTCCTGCGTGCTGAACAGGCTGTCGTTATCATCGCCTTCGGCGTCGCTCGACACGTCGAAGGCCTGTTGGACGTTGGCCAGGACGTGCGCCTGCTGGAGCTTCTCCCACTCGTGTTCTGCCATAGACCTGGATCCGAATGGTAACTTGTTGGGGTCCTCCTCGATGGGTGTCCGACTTTTGTTCGTACGCCGAGGTAGGGAATGAGTATCGAAACTGGAATGACTAGCGCTCCTCGAGAAGCTGTTCGGGTCCACTGCGTTAGGGGACAACGACCTGCGGAAACAAATTAAAACATTTTTAACGATGTTTCTAATTAATTATTCCATCCAAAATTTATCCGTTTACCTTGTCAGTGCGTCGGTTTGTTGTATATTATAAGCTATCTCCTGCTGCAGCATCTGCCTCTTAACGTTATCTATCTCTAACCTAGACTTAGCCAACTCCTTCATGATTTCCGATTTCTGCCCGTCCAACTCCTCCATCATCTTCCTGGTCTTCTCCAGCTCCTGCGTCAGGTTGTTCTTTTCCTGTAACGCGTGCATCCTCTCCTTCAGGTGATCTTGCAGTCTGTCATTGGACTCGGAGAGCAGTTTATCTACCGTAGCCGAGAGACGGGAGTTGTGGTCTTCGTTCATCTTAAGTCTTTGGTTAAGGCGGATGAGTTCGGCGTTTTTCTCATCCAGGTTGGCCTCTAGGCGTTGGATGCGGTCTTCGGCCGAGCCGTGCCTTTCTTGCGCCTGAAAACAGGAGGTAATGCAAAAATTCTTTAACGGGGGGGCGGACTACACCTGAACGGAACATTAATTTAAATACAAAGTTTACGGTTTCCTACACGTTTTCGACGGAATCGCTGGAAGTATTTGGATTAATTTTTTATTGTGTTAAAATTTACACGGAAACATACGAAAGTGTAGAAGGGCCACAGAATATATATTTTTTAAAACTCTGACTTTAAAATTGTAATTCTGACTTTAAACTCGGAATTTTGACTTTAAACTTGGAATTATGAGTTTAAAGTCAAAATTCTGAGTTTAAAGTCAGAATTTTGAGTTCTACTTCAGAAATGTTAGTTTAAAGTCAGAATTCTGAGTTCAATTTCAGAATTGTGAGTTTAAAGTCAGAATTCTGAGTTTAAAGTTAGAATTCCGAGTTTAAACTCAGAATTCTGAGTGTAAGGTCAGAATTTCAAGTTTAAAGTCAGAATTCCGAGTTTAAAGTCAGAATTCTGAGTTCGAAGTCAGAATTCTGAGTTCAATTTCAGAATTATGAATTTAAAGTCAGAATTCTGAGTTTAAAGTCTTGCTATGTGATTACTCAATTAATTTTACTGTAGTTGCACATATACTATAACTTAAACAAAAGTAAGAAAGCAGCACCTAGGTATACCTAGTTATCATTAAATCAGAATTTCGAGTTTAAAGTCAGAATTCCAATTTTAAAGTCAGAATTCCGAGTTTAAAGTCAGAATTCTGAGTTCAAACTCAGAATTGTGAGTTTAAAGTCAGAATTCTGAGTTCAATTTCAGAATTGTGAGTTTAAAGTCAGAATTTCGAGTTTAAAGTCAGAGTTCCGAGTTTAAAGTCAGAATTCTTAGTTCAAACTCAGAATTGTGAGTTTAAAGTCAGAATTATGAGATCAATTTCAGAATTGTGAGTTTAACGTCAGAATTCTGAGTTTAAAGTTAGAATTCCGAGTTCAAACTCAGAATTCTGAGTTTAAGGTCAGAATTTCAAGTTTAAAGTCAGAATTCTGAGTTTAAAGTCAGAATTCTAAGTTTAAAGTCAGAATTCCGAGTATAAAGTCAAAGTCAGAGTTTAAGAAAAATATATTCTGTGGTCCTTCTATGCTTTCGTAGAAACAAGGACATTTATTTAAATAACATACTGCTAGCTAGCTACCTTCGATACCTAACGAAAACAAACACCTAGCGGGTACATAGTCACAATATCAGTTATGTACAGAGAAATACATATTTAATTTTTCCTGAACATTAAACTTGCACAATTTTTTAATCTATAACAGAAATATCAAAGAGATTCATGCAATCAAGGGGTAGCAGTCTATAGCTATTTTATCCAAGAAATGCCTTAAACTAGGTGGAAGACCGGTACAAGAAATAACGGTTCTAATAAGCTAAGCCAGGGGTGTTATTTATTGCACTGGTTCTCCAATCACAAGTATAATGTAAATAAATGTGTTGGTAATGTTCGTAAAAATATTAAAATATGCTTAGCTCAAGGCTCACTTGTAACTATTTTCTATTAATCTATTACATCAAAAGCATGACACTGAACCATTCAAACACATTAAATATTTTTTCGCAAAAACACATTCGAAGCCTACATTCTCTAAACTATACCGCTCACAAATTTTGTGAGAGATTGCCGTGAATAAGGTAAATCTTGGGGCATCTAATATTTAATGTGCTTGAATTTTAATACAAAGAACAGGGGAAAGGCATTAGGTGAGTCTGTTTTTACCGACCTGGGAAGCTATTAAGTATTCAGCGAGGTTTTTATATGAAAACTTTGCAGTTTATCCATAATAAATACAATAATGTAATAAGGGCAGAATGTTCTCGTATTTTCAGTCTTTATTAATGAGAATTTGCCAAGTGAGAGGTGAGTGTTTATATTATCTATAAAATGGAGATTATTAAATTAACAAAAGCATATACGGCACATAAGGCTTTTTACTATTAATGCCATGATTTTTTTTATTTAAGACTATACCATTTAACACTCTCACTGCCAATATCTCCGAAGTGAAGAAATTTATTTAAGTTCTGGAAACTAGGGTTGTTAGGTCACTCGAATAGCTTTAAATTGCAGTTAGAGTTAGAAAAAAATTTTTGACCGGCTCGTTCACCAGATTTGACCCCATTGGATTTTTTTCTATGAAGTCATTTAAAAAACACTGTATATCAGGAGGCAGGACCCTATAGATGACATGGCAGATTTGTATAATAAAATTTATCCAGTTATGACGGTTTTAAATTTAAATAAAATAATAGATTTTCCTGTTACATCGTACATTGCATATTGAAGTCAGCATGTCTCGAAAACAAGTAAATATTGTGAAAATTTTATATTACAAAAATTACTTAAAATTTAACGACCTTTCAGATGGACTGCATTTCCACGTCCTAGGAATCAAAAAATTTTTTAGTATCGCCACGCAATCTATACAGAAAGATTTAAACTAACAATTCTAACTGCAATTTGAAAGTATTCGAGGAACCTAATAATCCCAGTTTCCAGAACTAAAATAAATTTCTTCATTTCGGAGATATTGGCAGCGGAAGTGTTAAATGGCACACCCTGTATAGGATGTAACTTTCAGTGGGTCTTTTTTGTTTTTTTGGTAATATACGTGTTCCCCAGAATACTAATCTGAAATTATTACTTTTTTAAATCAAATAAATGGAGTTACAACTCATCTTTATGACGTTGCAACGTGTTATTTTAAAGTCACCATATTTTTTTGTTGTCAATGCAGATTCCGTCAAACATTAAAAATATTTTTTAATGTGTTAAAAATATTAATATTCTTTGCATGATTTATTAAATATTAACCAATATTGGTAGTAGAATTACTAATTAATGTAATTAAGAATGATTTGTTTTAAAACAATTATTTCTGTTGTTTCATAAAAAAAATCGTAATAAAAAATAAATAAACATACATTTCCAAGTTTTTAATAAAAAGTATATGACTATTTTTTTAAAGCATGTTGTTTAGTTTGTGAATATTCGTGTCAATGACCTGTGACATTGAACTGGTTTAGGTGGACTGTATAATATCAGTCCACCAGATGTGATACAATAGGGTGCCAAGCAAGCAAAAACTAAACCAACAATAATTCAGCAAAACGAGAATTGATATATACAGAGTGATTCACAACTTATCCAAAAAATTTGGGAATTGATGCGTCATGAAAAATGGAGTCAATATTGTAAAAAATTTTTTATTGATTAAGAGAAAAAAAAATTGAGGTTACAGTATTTTTAACCTTTACATCACTCGTAGTCCCTGGCGTCATTCGCGTTGTGTGCATAATGCATTCTCTCTCCACATAGCCTCAGGCAATTACGAATACTGAAATCCGATGTTATTTACGTTTTTGCCATAGTGTTTACATTAGTTTTTCAAGTGTCAAAAGTGTTTTTAAATCAGTTTGCCCTATTTAATTTCTTTTTTTACAATTATATTTGTAAGAGTCCCTTGCACAATTTTTTTTTATAAGTTCTGAATCACCCTGTATGGCACTGCTTCGTTTTGTTACATTTTAGTTTTTAGTTTATTGGCTTATGGAAAGGTGTGTTACAGTAAGTAGTTTCACGACATTCTGAGTGAAATATTAGTATTATTTGCTGGAAATCAGTTGTGACTATAAAAAAACAAATCAAGGAAGATTAAATTTAACAACAAAGCATGTCATAGCCTATTCAGCAATGGAGTAGGAGGGTTACAAAAAAAAGCTTAAAAAAATTTCAAATGAGAAAATAGTTATGATGACATGAATTTGTAAGTCAAAAGCAGCCTTCGTATAAATTCGAAGTTACCCCATTTGAAGTTACATCCTGTATATAAAAAAAATGTACAAAATGAATAATGAGAATGACTCAAAAACCAAATCTAAGAGGTTAATTGCATAGTTACATAAAAAAATAAGGCACGAAAAGGTAAAAACCCGAACTCACATAACGCCCACAAGAGAACAACAGCTAAGTCGTGTGACAATACCAACTAGAGAGTAAGTAAACGGAAAACTGTGCTAGATTTATATATATAGGAACATTTAAAAGTATATCAAAGTGAGCTGAGAGCCTCGTACCTGCGGTCTCACCTGTGTCAGCGCCTCCATCCGCTGTTTCAGCTGTTCCTCTATCTCCGGCAGCTTGGAGTATTGAGCCAGTTTCTGTTCCGCCAGCTCCAGCTTCTCCTGGATGGCAGCTATCTTCTCCTCGTGTAACTGGAAATCACGCATGAGGTTAGAAACTATCTCTGACATGACTTCTTGCATATTCCCGCACGTCACGAACTTCCATGAAGAGTTACTTAAAACCGAATGCAGTGTATTTTACTTTCTGTAAATTGGGGTAATAGGTGTACTGTGTCGGTTTAATGGGCCCTGAGGGTTCGCTATTACTGTTTACAATACTAATGAATTTGTAGCTAATCAGTGATTGTTGTTTGAAAAGGAGACAGGGTAATTGCCGTGCCAAAGGTTACTGACTGCAGTGTACACAGCGAACTATTTGCTCTGTGACCAGGGCTGTTATCACAAGTAGTAATGAATTCCAATGTGGTGTGGTAAACAGATAATTAATCATACAAGTGATGCCTTTATGCCTCTACAAATGGCGTTTTGGGGGTAAATGTGTGCAAATGTATTAGCTGGGAACTCCTGGAAAGGAATCAATAATGCAGGTGCATCAAGAGACCCCAAGTTTGCACACCTGTAGCTTCAAAGGTTGTAGGTTAAATCTAATTCTAATGCACTGTGACGAATTCTAAATCAACCTGTTAAAGTTAGCATAACCTTCCCATCCACATGCACACAACAAAAGTCAACAGTTCACTGATTTTCATAGTAAAGACGTCTATAAAATGTTTTTTTTCTGGTGAAGAGACTGGATGGTCAAACTGGAGTATCTAGCATCCAATTTACTGAGGACAATGTCTCTAAAGAGTCATTATTTTGTCATACAAGGTGGAGGAGTTAACTGTATATGTTAACTCCTCCACTTGAGTAAAAACAAAAGTATCTGTAGTTGTGACATAATACCAAAGACATATCAAAATACACCTTTAGTTCAAAATATCTCAAAATCCTGATATGATGGAGCAATTTCACAACCAGATTAGGATTCAGCATCAAAAATTGTGGAAAACAGTATCAGATTACAAAAAAACTCTTCACAACCATAATTTAATGTAATTCCTAATAGGAATAGTCATATTCCACAACTGGAGACACTGTGTCTTCAAAATTTATGTTCATACATTGGAATCCTACCTTAATTTGAGCTTCTTTATGCTGCAACTCCTGCTCCAGCTTCTCGTTCAAGTCGTGCAAGGAGGTCGACTCTCTCTGCGCGTTGAGGTACCTCTTCTCCAGGGTGGCGATCCTCTCCTCCTGGTCTTCCTTCTGCGCCACGTTCTCCCTAAGGTCCCTCTGCAGCTTGGAGTTGGCGTCTTGTGCTTTCAACAGTTCCTTTTGTGCCTTAGCAAGATTCTCCTCCAACTCACCCACCCGATTTTGCATCTCTGCTACCCGTCTCTGCCAGGTGCTGATCTCCCCGGTCTGTTGAAACAACAGAGGGGATCGTGAAAAGTATTAAACAAACGGAGGAAAGGGTAGGGGTGACTAATGAGGGTCTCGTTTGAATTTGGTGGTCGGCAAGGGTCCCTACACCTACAGCTGTTTTGAAGACAACCTAGGGTATATCTAAGTCATGAATACTAAAGTGATGAGATGCTGGGGATTGTTCTATTTGGACACATTATTTCTAAAGGTATATATGCAGATGAATTTTGAGGATACATCTACAAAATTGTTTGTCTGAATGTCTGAAAGACCCCATTAATAGTTTCAGTAAAAAAATTAACTTTCCATTTAACATAATTTCAAATATGTCAAAAAACCGCGATTTTGGCACTTTTAGGTTAGGATATCTCGAAAACCAGAGCCAATTGAGAAATTTAGACCTGGGATTCGAATTCAGCACACTAAAATCCTTTGGGAAAGTACATTCGTGTTGTTGGGTTAAAATCTTGTCAGCCTGTGTAATTCTGTGATCAATCAAGTCACCATATTTTTTTGATGTCAATGCAGTCAAAGCGCTGAATAGTAAAAAAAATTGTCTTATAGTCTGTTTGGAAATGAAAGAGAGTAATAAAACCCCGAGATAAGAACCGGCCATGGGCGTGCTAATATTTCTTTTCAGGTAATTATCGGGTAACACTAATGCTAACAGGTAATGGGTGTACATTAGTATATTTTACTGGATACATCATAGGGCAGGAGCCAGTGTATTGTGACAGATCAATCCAGTCTTAGAGCTGAATATACGAAGACGTGCTAGTGCAGTAGAGTAAAATTCGACTTGTGTTTAGTGACTATTGTGCCAGTGGATATAATATTGTTTGGGTAAAATGTCGAGCTTATCAGATTACGTACCTGCTAAACGCGTGAAAAGATGTGCGCTGTCTCAGAATGAGAAGATTATTATATTAAATGTATTTAATGCATTGAAACACCAAAATCCTACCAACAGTGTTGACGACATCGTGGAAAAGTGTTCCAAAATGACAGGGATTGGAAAATCGACTATCTACAGACTTTTAAAGGAAACAAAAAATGAACAAGATACTGTAAATCCCCCAAAATCATCTACAGGGAGGTCAAAAGTCGTTATAGATGATTTCTTCAAAAATGTCATTCGCAGAAAAGTACACTCATTTTATTTTAAAAAAGAAATACCAACGCTAAACAAAATTTTAAGTGAACTTTCAGAGGACAACGATTTGCCAAAAATCAGTAGAAGCAAATTATGGGCCGTCTTACGAGAGTTGAATTTTTGCTGGGAAAAGCAGAACAGGAAGTCAGTTCTTATCGATAAAGATGAAATTATTTGTTGGCGAAGATCCTACTTAAGATCAATTAGAAAATTCCGTGACGAAGGGAGGAATATTTATTATCTAGACGAAACTTGGGTCAACGAGGGATATACTGTAACAAAAGTATGGCAAGATAAAAATGTAAAAAGTTTTCGACAAGCATTTTTGGATGGACTTTCAACAGGGTTCAAGGCACCTTCAGGTAAAGGGCGAAGATTAATAGTGACACATATAGGTAGTGCCAGTGGTTTTGTAGATGGCGGTTTACTTTTATTTGAATCTAAAAATACAGGTGACTATCACGAAGACATGAACGCAGATGTTTTCGAAGAGTATTTTACACAGATGTTGGATCTTATTCCTCCGGGGTCTGTAATTGTCATGGATAATGCCAGTTACCATTCACGGCAGACCGAGCGGACGCCTACGACTGCTTGGAGGAAAGCCGATATAATTCAATGGTTATCCGGAAAAAACATTTCTTTTGAAACAAATATGGTGAAAAAGGAACTTTTGACACTTGTCAATCTTAATAAAGATCAGAAAAAATATGTTATCGATGAAATGGCAACAAATCGCCAAATAACGGTACTACGGTTACCACCTTATCACTGTGAACTTAACCCAATCGAATTAGTCTGGGCGCAGGTAAAAGGAGATGTAGCGCGAAATAATACGACGTTTAAATTAAGTGACGTGAAAATTTTGTTAAAAAATTCCTTGGAACGAGTAACTGCAGATAACTGGCAAAGATGTATACATCATGTACAAAAAGAAGAGGAGAAAATGTGGGAACTCGATAATTTAATTGACGTTACTGTGGAACCTATCGTTATCAATCTAGGAGACGAAGATAATTCATCAGAATATTCAGAGGATGAATTTTAATATACCTACTTTTTTATTTTCTTTATTGTACATTTATACAACACTACATTTACTCACCATAATTTGAATTTTCAAAATACATATATTTTTGTGTGGAATAAAAGTCTATTCATTAAATTTAAATAAATATTTTGATAATAATATTGAATAATTTTATTTGAATTACTAAAAACCCTCTTAACCCGGTTATGATGCTTAAAGTAGCCTCATGTTTTGAAATGCTGTTTTTATATTGTTTACTTATAAGAGAAATGGACCGAGAAATTGAAGCGGCATAGACAAAGACGGATTGTCGGGGATTAAATTTTAGCTACCTGCTACAATTTAGTACAGTCCGATCGCACAAAGTTTTTTTAAAAGTACACCTCATCTATACCGAAAATGCATAATATAAAAATATTGAATATAAGCACCAGTACTACATTTATTTACGATTTGCATACCTAATGAGCTTTTATTACTCTCTTTCATTTCTAAACAGACTATAGGAAAAATTATTTTTTTATAGTAAAAATAAAAATATTCAAATCATTTAGCATTAACCTCGTACGTCTGTAATTTTTATTAGTAATGTGGTAAGTATTAGTCATTTCGTAATAAAAATGGCTACGTATCTACCAAGGAAATGCTAAATCTAAATTTAAATAAAAAAAATGTCAAGGCATTCCAATTTAAAAAACAAAACAGATTCAAATCTGGTGAACAACGTGGCCTACAATGATAATGAAACGCCCATTCGCCAAATCTGAACCCGTCAACCAATCACATAAGTAGAATTCTGTCATCCTGTCAAAACTACGTATTCCTACCGGACGGGACAACTACCTAAGTAAAGTCACAAGTAGGGAAATACTGTAACGGAAAAAGAGACTCACTTGCTGCTCTAGCGCCGCCTGGAGGTCAGCTATCCTAGCTGCGGCGTCCGTGTCCGACTCCACACCGCCATTGGTGAGTCGCTGCTTCGCAGCTGCCTATATGCCCACAACAACATGCCACATCACAACATCTATCATAAACATGCAGTATAAAAATACATAGTACGATGGTAAAGGTCCGTCTTTACCAAGGTAGGAGGACTATGTATGTATGTAATGCGAGTAAAAGTGAAAAAAAAAATTAATACGAAAGGAAAAATTTTAAAAATTTCGACCAGTAGTCCTAAGGTGCCGAATTAGAAAGTAAGTACTTTAGAGGTAAATACAGTGTACCAGGTACATAGTCCTTAATCGTACAGAAACAAAATTTTATTCATCAAGAATAAAAAAAACTTGATTTTGGGGAACTGCTAAAATATTAAGTTGATCTTATTAGGAACAATAAAATTATTATCTATAAAGACAAGGTGTCTTTTTAATTAAAATTTATTTTCTTATTCTAAAACTGGTCTACTTCGATTTTCTCATGATGTGTAGGTAAAATTACCTTTTTGTGAGAGATATGGCAAATTTGTATTAGAAGTCTTTTAGAAGGAAAATTTGAACAACTGAAATTTATGGTCGGTCGCTCAGTGCGGCTGTGTGTGTGCGGCGTTTGCCCGCGCACGCATTCTTCAACTGAACGACCAAACCTATATACGGGTTTTTCAAGCTGTTGTTCAGCTATATGACACCCTGTACACATTAAATACTGCAAAAGAATTGATTTCTCTATGTTTCTTAACTGATATAATCAACAATATTTCTAATTATTTCTTTGTAGAGGACACCTTGCGGTGGACCATTTTTGGCTTACTTAAAACATTTTTCTAGATTTGTAGATATCTTTTTACAAGAATTACTTTTTTTCATAAAATTAGAAATAAAATACATTCTGCCTATCTTCTCTGATGTGACATTTTTTTCGTTTAGTTAATGTCAGAACTTTAAAATTTGAACTTTTTTTTACAGAAAAATTGTCTCTTCTATTTAGAATTGCCTGTTTTTTAATACAAATGATTATATAATGCTCGTGGTCTAGATGAGAAACACAAAAGTTAAGATTATATTATTTTTTATTTGGAAAGAATTAAGTTGAGCTTCTTTATATAAAAAAGTAAAAAACAAGTTCTCATCTTAAATATGTAAAACAATAAAACAAGCAGAAAAGTGGAGTAAAAATTGCCTAAATCCCAATCTTGTATGCCTCCGAATATTATAGTCTTTCCGATATCAATTGAAGAACCCAAAGGTTGACAGTATATACCAGGTTCAGTCGCTGACGCAGCAACTCGGCACTGAAATATTTGAAAAACTTGTTCCCATATTTATTTAGCCATACCCATATACAGGTTTGGTCGAACTAAACGTAGAGGGGGTAGAAATGTATACGCCCAGTTTGCAAGCGCGGGCAAACGAAATACAAACACAGCTGCATTGGGCCACTGGGCAATAAATCTCAGCTGTTGACAAGTGGTTGACAAATTGCCCAGCAGTGCAGTGTAGCAAAATATATTAAAAGAAAATGTACGTTTTTAAGAAATTAAAAGAACCTGTCCCCCATTATATTATATTTTGATTTCTCAAACTTTTTCCAGAAATTTCGAATACTCAGTATATATTTTTTTAATATTAAGGACTATACACACAGTACACAACTGTTACAAAGTGACCTCAAATTATGCTTTGATTCGTATAGCAAAAAAAAATTAAAATGTCCTCAACACTTGACTAATTTCATAATAATAGAGACCACTTTGTAAGATAAACTATATTACGATTAGTCGAAGCTACACTAAAAAGTTTACACGGGCGATACAAAAAAATCAATTCATATTTTAATTTATAACATTTTTTTGGATCACCAATACCAAATCACCAATCACCAACGATCGCAGTGATCAACGAATTAAAAAGTATACGCAAAATGTAAGCTTAATAGAAAAAAATGCTTACAAGTAACATTTAGAAACTTAAGTCGATTGAAAAGTCTCCATGCTGTAAGGTATATGTAAAGACGTCGAGGGCGAAACAAAAAGAAATACAATTACCTTATTATTTACATTAGCGACTTGGTCCCCTATTTCGACTTGTCCATTCTCTTTGGGTTTCTCTTCTATAGCAGGTACACTGGGAGGTATCACCCCTTGTTTGTATTGTTGTAACTGCACACAGAAAATGGGCCGTAAGTCCCCCTTTTCAAATTCAGGTCTTGGAAGAAAGGGGGAATGGGGATGAACCGTAGGGGGGGAAATATCTGGAGGGTGTCGTTCTTTATTAAAGTAGGGATCTGGTGAATTAAACTTTATATAATGCACCTGTCTAAGAGCAGGTAGTCCAGTCACTAAAGGTGAAAATAAGGTAAAAGCTCCCAATTTTTTCGGATAGCATGGATTTTCCTGAATATTTGCATACAAGCTCTTCTGACCCCCACTTTAAAAGTTGTATTGTCTAGATGTGAGCTTTTTTTTATTTGGGGGTGAAAACTACCCTTGTACGAAAAAAATGCGAAAATCGAAGATTTACGTATTTTCAAGATTCAATTCATGTTCAAATATGTTGGATAAAGTACCTTTCGTGTTTTTTAATATAATTTATCAAATTTAATTACTTTTCAACCCTTAAAAATCCTTAAAAACAAAACTAAAATAGAAAAAAAAGTTTTTAACAGTTTAAAATATTCTTTTGGTGCATTCGCCATGTATTGCATTTATTTTGTTATTCATTAGAAAGCTTACGACTCATTACAAAGTTGCAACCCTTAAAAAACATCCCTTATAATAAAATAAAATATTGTTGAAAGCTTGAGATGTTCTAATGGTATGCATATGTTGAATTATAAACTTTTTATTGGTTTTCAAATGATTTATGATATATTGCAACTTTTCAGCCACCCAAAAAACCAACCCCTTATAGAAAAATTTCCTAAAAATTATATGTGAGTATGATTAACTTTCTTTTAATTTTATTGAATTTATTCTTAAGGACGGGATTTTGTACAAAAAATATCGCCCAGCGTGAGTCACGAAACGGGACTCCGGCAGGTGCTGTTCTAGCGGCCAACGCTTCAAGTCTAATAATTCCGCTGCACCGGATATTCGTCCGATTTTTCAGGAACGGCTCCAATTTGTGTACATACAATCTTATAAGGAAAGAGAGTAAATATTTTATTAATTAGTAATAGATTATCGAGGACGATAATATTTTTTTATTGAGTAGGCAATAATTTTTAGTTAATAAGCTTAAACAATCTTATAATTACTATTCCTTCATTATAAAAACAGAAATACGGTTTTTAAAATTACATGTAGTTTCTTCTTCAAAAGTGACCTTAAAACACGTATAACATGGAATAGTCAACAGTCTAATGTTTATATTTTCACATTAACAATCCGATAATGTAAATTAACTGCTATTTTCAGTAAAAAAAATATATACCTAACCTGAAATATTTTTTTACTTTGACGAGTCGTTTTAACTTAAAAACACTGCTTAATTACTAAAATATATAGAATCTTGCTACTAATTGCGTTTGGAGAATAATATGTATAGGCATAAAATATATATATAATATTACTGTATGTATTTAGTCCATTGAAATGAAGGCTGAACCTCCATTTTTTCCTCTGTCGATCAAACCTGGGCGCAAATATGTTTTCGACCCTCAGGAATCCGAATCCGCAAAAATTTTTGACCTAGGTGATCAGGCAAGGGGTCAAAAGGTCAAAAAACCCGTAAAAAATAAGGTTTTTCGCAAATATCTCGTAAACTACGGCAAGTAGCAAAAAAATAATTGCACCATCGTGTTCCCAGGGAAATTTTACATCGATTTTATGCTATTGCTTATTAAAATTAAATAAATTTATGTCATGTTTTGGACAATTACCAAGCAATATAATGCGATTTCAAATATAATTAGCCTGCAGTTATAGTGGATCTGAATTCAATTGCCAGATACACTATTTTTTTTGCTACTTACTTTAATTTTTAAATGGAAAACCAAAAATAATACTAATGAAGAACAGAAAAAAAACTTTTTTAGAACGAAATACTTATTGCAAAAATGAAATATAGTGCTCTGAAAAATCGACTTGTAAAGCTTATTCTACAAATACTAAAAAAGTCAAAATTTGTATAAACAATTGTTCCCAGAATGACAACTTTTTATTTCTAAATTTTGAAGACTTTTGAAGAATTGAATAATGAATAAAATAAGCCTAGTAGTCCGGGCGAATTAGGTTTTTTTTCAAAAATCGGGCCTAAATCTAATCTAAATAAATTTTAGTGTCATCTAGACACTTGAAGGAACACAGGAAAATTTGGAAAATAATTTTTAACTTGACTTTTGTTAAAGTTATTCAATTGTTAATGAACTAATTTTTCGTGGATCTTTCATAAAATTTGTTGTAAAAGTTTAAATAATGTATCTAAAAATTTTTTTCTTTCTCGAAGGTCTTTTTATATACATAATAAACAAGATTCCGTTGTAAAAGTTTATAACAATTTTATCATTTGTTTATAATGATTTTTAAAGTTAACAAAAAATGAAAAATCCGGGAAATGTTATAAATTTTTTTTTTACCAAATGTTTGATTTTACTTGTTTTTCTATTAATATATTGCGTTTATTAACTTAGCTATAACAAATTTATAAACAAATGGACAAGTTTAATATTTTTGAAACATTTTTTTGCTATTTTATTGTCTTGGTAAAATAATGATTTTTAAAAACAAAAATTTTTCTTGAATAAATTTTTTAATTGTTTATAATCGTTTTTTTGATTTATTTGTCATTTAAATTATTTATTAAGAATTTTTTTTTAAATCATCATTTGCTATTATCAATATAATTACAAAAAAAAAATTATTCAAATTTTCATTGTTTATTTTATAACTCAAAAGTTCATTGTATTCCGTAAATATCTTCCAGGCTGCACAATTGGTTAAAATTTTGAGTTTCTGCTCTTACAAAAGTTAAGTGTTTAATTAAAAATAGACAAAATTGAAGAAAACAACAAGAAGAATATAAAATATTGACATTAGTTAGAAAAAAAGTACAGAAAATCCAGAAAATGTACCCTTAATCGTGTGATAATTTAAACAAATAAAAAAACATCGTAAACAAATGGAATAAAAAATATAAAAAAATTTTTATTGAGTAGTCCAGTAGTTACTCTATAAAATTGTCTTAAATAGTGGAATCCGTAACTTCAATAGTTTAAAAGTTTTAGTCATTTAAAGAATTAGATAATGCATTTTTTTATATACAAATGTTTATAAAAATATAACCATTGTAGATATGAAGCAGGTAAAAAAATTCATGTTATAGATCAATAAATTATCTAAAAGATCTACCTGAATGTCAAAGACCGTATCATCAATAATTTAGAAATTATAACAATTTATAAGTTTATCAAATAGGTGACCGTTTCAGCTTTGATGTGATAAAGTATTTAAAAATGCAATAAAAATTAGAAAAAAATGTTATTTACCACTTTGATGCACATAGCTGTATTTATAATTCGTTAAAGTTACGAAAAAAAAATAAAATGAAAATCAGAATTTGTTTATAACAAATTGTTTATAAAATAAACAATGAAAATTTGAATAAATTTTTTTTTTTAAATTATATTGATAATAGCAAATGATGATTTAAAAAAAAATGATTTCTTAATAAATAATTTAAATGACAAATAAATATAAAAATCGATTATAAACAATTAAAAAATTTATTTAAGAAAAATTTTTGTTTTTAAAAATCATTAATTTACCAAGACAATAAAATGGCAAAAAAATGTTTCAAAAATATTAAACTTGTCCATTTGTTTATAACAAATTTATAAACAAATAACGTTAAAATTTTTTTAGCTAAGTTAATAAACGCAATATATTAATAGAAAAACAAGTAAAATCAAACATTTGGTAAAAAAAAATTTTTATAACATTTCCCGGATTTTTCATTTTTTGTTAACTTTAAAAAATCATTATAAACAAATGAAAAAACTTTTATAAACTTTTACAACGGAATCTTGTTTATTATGTATATAAAAAGACCTCCCAGAAAGAAAAAAAATTTTAGATACATTATTTAAAGTTTTACAACAAGTTTTATGAAAGATTAGGACCACGAAAAATTAGTTCATTAACAATTGAATAACTTTAACATAAGTCAAGTTAAAAATTATTTTCCAACTGGGCTGTGTTCCTTCAAGTGTCTAGATGACACTATAATTTATTTAGATTTTTAAATTAATATTGAATACTATAAAAAAATTATTTTGTGTTGCACACTTTGCTTGGCGGCGACGCGACGACGCGGAAACCGCCGCCGCCGCGCGGAGCTATATTTTCAACGTCAAATTAAAATTATAAATAATGGAGCTACAATTCCTGACTTATTTTGCTGAAATTTTCTCCTCTTTCAGGATCTTTTTTGAAATTTCAGCTATCTTCAATATTTTTTTAGTTATAGTTAAAAAACGGAGACTCCCTTTTTTCTCTTCGTTTTTTGTTTATAACAATTGCTATTTTTAATTGCGGATAAATTAAAAAATACTTCTTTCTCTGAATTTAATTCCGAATCCAATGTACTAACAACCATATTTTTAGGATTACAATAACTATTTTTCGCAAAAAAAACTCACTTCTCGACTAGACTAGTGGTTTCCTTCTTATCGGTAAGTAGCTACTGATTTGTAGATTGAAACAGAAATCTACCTGAGCCAGACCAATTTTTAAGCTGTAAATTTATTTTGAAACTACCAAGGCTACAATATAAATAACGATTTTATGTGGGACACCCTGTACGTAAAATTTAATCTTTATTCTTAATAAAGAAAAATTAGTACATATTATTGGTTTTTTATGCGTTATATTTTCGTACTACTTAAGCTTTACAAAATCTTATTACTTAGGTACCTACCTACTTTTAAAATATTACCCATATTTATATATCAAAGATAATATCAGACCATTATGGGTCCCATATTCTGTAAATAGTGTTTTCCGCAAAGACAAATAATTTCAAACATTTAATAACTGAATAATCTAAAGCTTATCAAATAATAGGAATGTTATGTCATGCCACCTGAGTATTTTCAAAGACGCCGGCCGCAGTAAAACGAATAAACAGGTGCAAAAAACGATCAAACCATTAAGGTTTTAGG